TATACTATTCACCCTCCCTTTCTTGTCCCTGTGACTGTCGCTTCTGCTCAGGTCATAATCACGATATCAGACCGGTACCCCTCTCAGAGGAGGTCAAATATTTGGGCGTCTATCCAGACGCGTTCTCCTGTAATCGGAAAACTCTAAATTAAAGGGTCTCGCAGGCCATTTCGACCTCTGAACTCCTTCGTCCCCTCATCTCTCACTCCGCTCTTCCTCCATCTCGGAAACTTACGGCCTATAGATCCGTAGTGTTATCTATGCTTACCTATGCTATGGATAGCAAGCTACTCTCACAAGGCAAATTCACAAAATGAACACTGTTCACTTTAAGTCACTCCGACGTATTTGCAAAATCAAATCACCCTTTTGTCATAAGGTCCTGGACCCATCTCCAGTGACTAGGACATCTTTACAGACATGTAGAAACGTTAAAGTACCAAGTGACGTTTATGGGCTCCCACGCGTATGGACACGTGGCATCACCGAATCGGGCTGGACGCACACGCCCACACTGGGCGGAATCATGCTTGACTGAAGCAGTACAGAGAATTCACTTTATTGCATCAGGTGCTCCTCCTTCACATTCAGATATACATAATGCGTTCGTCGCAACACCTACGCTGTCGCAGGTACAGACCGCATGGAACGTCTTCTATAGTACGGATGCGCAACGCTCCTTTGTATCGCAAGATGCAACTCTATTGCCAGAATCGGGAGAGATGGAAGACTCTCATCCATAGACGCCGCTCCCTGAGGCATGCGTAATTGTGACCCCTAGATATTTAACTTCTGAAAGCAGTCGGTGCTGACGTTGCACTCCTTTCGGCCGTAGCGAGCATGAGCTTGCCCGGGTTGCAATCCTTTAGCAGCTAGGAAAATCTAGGCCGACACGGGGCCCAAGAAGAGACACGAGCCTCGCCTCGCCTCCCTCAAGGCAAGCCAGCGAAAGCTCCCACCTCTGCACTTCGCGCTGCTCGCCGCGCTCTCCGTTGCGGTGGGCCCTTCAGCCATGCTCCCGTGTGACGCGCATCGCATGCATCGCCTAGAAGCAGGAGCTTCTCGTCTTCCCAGTCCTGGCGGCCGGCTGTGCAGCCCTGGACAGGGCTCTCAAGCCTCATCGAAAGCATTGAGTGAAGCAGCTGCGAGTTCTGCAGGACTCTTCCGGGAATGTGGCATTTCCAGGACACGTGCTTTTCTTTCAGGCGAGCCGATGCTGAAATATGCAAGCTCTACGTTTGTCAGTCTCTGCGGCAACCTGGGGACCAGGCCCAAGCAGGAGCAGTAAATAGGCATCATGCCCTCGGGCGTGGCTTTTGCACAGGGCCTCACGCCACGGAGGCATCTGGCCTCCACTCATGGCGACCGTGGTGTCCAGGCCCGTGATGGCCGCAGAACCCATGGAGCTCCTGCCATGCAGAAGTCCTTCCATCCGTTGCAGATCTTTGCGATGGGCGGAGGAGCTGTACTTGGTGCCAGGATGGCTGTTCGGCGGTCAGCCAAGTCTGAGTCGACCTTGACCCTGGAACCGACCCGGCCGTCTCACAACAGCCGCAAGCTGACTCAAGGGACACTTCAAGGCGACGTGTTCCTTCTCCAGACCCCGCTGATTCTGCCTTCTCCTCTGCCTTCGTGGATTGCACAGGTACTTCCGAAGCACTCTGTGGTTTTGGCAGGTGTGGACGGTGGATATGCAGCCTTTGACTTCGTGCCGGCCAAGCCTGAGGACCCTGGCTCTGCGCTGCAGCTCCTGCTTGGCGGTTCGGTGGAGGGGCTTTGTGGGACTCGCAAGTTGAGTGGACTGCCTCGGGGTGCCGTGCGACTCGGCCGGGTGGCAGAAGGTGTCACAGTAGAGGACGTCATTAATGTCAACGAGAGATTCGATAAGATGCTGTCGCTGACGGCAAACGATTGTAACAGTTATTCGCAGAGTGTCCTCGGTGCAATACTAGCTGACCCGGACAAGCTGGTGCAAGAGCGATTGTTTTCAACCCTGGATTGGGAAGAGATGCAGCAGAGCAGCGAAGTGAAGTACAAGGAGCCCTCGGTCACAAATGCAATTGTCCTAGTGGCTGGTACCACGGTCGGCGCTGGCATTTTGGCCCTGCCTGCCGTCACTCAGCCTGCTGGATTCGTGCCATCAACGGTAGCTCTGACTTTCGCCTGGATGTACATGGCCATCACAGGTCTTTTCATTGCTGAGGTTCGGAGGTTTAAGACATGTGGTGTGCAGCGGTTTAAGGCAAGGGGAGTAGGGACTTTCCGGGGGGGGGGGGATCGCGTTGCGCCATTGCGGAGGTGGCCTGCCGAACCATGGCCGCCACTGGCAAGCGAGCGACCTCCCTCCAGTCCATGGCCTCGACCTCCATCGGTCCTGCAGGCGCATGGCTGAGCTCCGCAGCTTTCGTTTTTTTACACATGGCACTGCTCATCGCCTACTGCTCCCGTGGCGGCGAGCTGCTCACGTCCTTGCCTCCCGGCAGACGTTCCCTTCTTGGTGTCATGTTTTCCCTGTATATCCCTGTATACCAGCATGGCCCCCATCATGTGAGCAGCGAAGGATTCCCATCCTCGGCTCGGTTGGTGTTCCTGGGCCTGCCGTCTTTGCGGGCATCTTTGGTGGCTTCATCTTCCTGACGAAGGGCACAGATGCCCTGGACCAGGGGAACAACGCCTTTGCGGTCGTGGTCGCAGTCTCCTTCTTTGCCTTGGTCGCACTGGCCATACCTGCAGGCGACGCCGCACGACTGTTCGCCGTTGCAGATTGGGGCAAAGCCACAGACACGGTGCCCACTCTGCTGCTGTCCTTGGTCTACCACAACGTGGTGCCCACGGTCTGCGACCCTTGCATTGCACGTGATTAGGTGCCCCCTTCTTTGGGCCTTAAGCCTGAGGCCCTCAGCCCCAGACATTTCTAGGCCCACAGACTCAGTCCCAAGGCGCAGCTTGAGGGCGACCGCGGCAAGATCACAACGGCCATTGTTGTGGGCAGCCTGGTGCCGTTTTTGATGTTTGTGGTGTGGAATGCTGCTGTGCTGGCGGCCCTTCCCATAGGGTCTGCAGGGGATCCGCTGGAGGTGCTCCGTAGCACAGGCAGCCCGCTTGTGGCCACCGGCATCCTGGCATTTTCCCTGAGTGCTATCGTCACATCCTTCGTGGGCTTCGTGGTCGCCCTCACGGATTTCTTCGCGGATTTGGATAATCGCACAGAGGACAGTTCCCTGCCTTTGAAGCTGCGGGACTTTGCGCTGACCCTTGTCCCCCCCGTGATCGTGGCCTGTTTGGACCCGAGCCTCTTCTTCCAAGCCATCGATAAAGCCGGAGCCTTCGGTGTCTCAACGCTTTTCGGGCTCCTGCCAGCCTGGATGGTGCTGAAGAAGCGGTCCTCGGAGTCACCTGTACTCACTCGAGCCCCTTGCCAGCGGTTTTGGAGTCGGGTTGCGAGAAGAGCAGAGGAACGGAACAGATCCTGACCTGCAGGTAACTATGTAGTGACAACATGATAGTATCTGATAGTAAATTGTAGGAGTAACATGGAATAACAATGCAAGAATTGAGAGCTGCAAGACGCCCCGCAGGTCCCGCAGTTTCTCGGTGGCTACGTTCGAGGGCCTCTTGTGCCTGGGGGGCCCCTCATCCCCGTCTTGGCAGCTGTGGTGGCGCTTCTGGTCGTTGGCGACAATGCCCTGGAGCTGTTGCATGGCTCATAGCTCAGCAGCTTGGGAGTAGTCACAAGAGGTGACACTATGCCGTGGGAGACTTTCCTGAACCTGTTTCACTTCCATAGATCCATTTCGACGTTTTCGCGCACTCGCCTTCCGATGAAGGCTTTTCAGAGTCGCATGTCCCCCGAGCTCCAACTCGCAGCTGAAAGCCATCGTCAAAAGAACATGAATAGCAGGTTGGCCCTCAGTTGGGCACATGCCCTGTGATCCCTGTGCTGAACACTGGGGGGCGGCGTAGATAGTATCTTCCGAGGAAGGGATGTAGTCGCGTGCGGAGGCCATTCTGTTTGGGCTGATGGCAAGTGCTGCGCCCTAAGAGCACCTGTCTTGAGACACTCTGTGTCTTGTAAGAGCACCTGTCAAGCTGTGTCGTCATAGTGGGCAGCCGATTGGAAGCGAGAGCTCAGGCCCTGACATTGACCTTCCTGGTGCTCTACGATCTTTGGAGTCCCACCGGTGACGTTTACAACTTCCAGGTGCGCCCGTTTCACCCGCCTTGCATCGCCCACCGCAGTTATCGCGTTGTGAGTGAGTTCGGGTCTTATCTCGTGATGTTTCGTGATGCCGACGTGTCGGAGAGGATTTGTCGCCACGATGAGGGGTGATGCTAGAGTTTGGGAATGGGGGCCTGTTGCCCACTGTGCCGACGACGACAACGAAGATCACCAGAAATGGTAGATGCAAGTAGCACACAAGACGGAACTAACCACGCTGGCGAACTTGTGAGCGCAGGGTAGGCGCACAACATTTCAGATCCCGTGCCTACGTGCTTGGCCTGTTAAGTCATCAGGACACTGTCAAGAGTGCAGCTTTTGAACACCGTTCAGGCCGTGTTGGAGGAGATGGTGTCTGGGATGGAAGAGGCATCTCGGAGTTGCTTTATAGTTTGATATACCATAATAATACCCCCCAAAAGCCCTATTCCTTATGGTTCCTTCTTATAGTTGCATAGTCTGATATACCAGAGCTTTGCATCGCAGAGCTTGGCAGGAGCTGGAGGCACGTCTCGCCGAGGCTCGGGCTTTGGCAAACGACGAGGCTCCTGGGCCGAAGCGAGCTGGGATAGGCCGCTGCTGGGAGTGGCAGTTGCGATGGCAATGCGAACTTTGTTGAAGCAGTCCCGAAATGGAGCAGTCCCACTCTCCAGACTGCATTCACGCGCATGCGGCGCCCGTGCCAATGCCAAGGTCTCGAGCCTGGGTGGCCAGCCCGAGCGAGTCTGAGAGGACTGCGCCGACTGGCAGCTGCTTCACTGCTTCCAGACAAAGCTTCTCATATTGGCTGTACTGTAGCGCGAGGAGGATAGGCAGAGCCCCCCAGGTGACCCTGCGAGCCAAAGGGAGCCACAGCATCACCTGCGGGGGGGCATCGCTTCGAGAGAGTCGGAAAACTGTACCAAAGATGATGTAGCATCTGTGGAAGTGCACGTCTTCTTGATGATGAGCGATGGAATTTGGATTGGATGTACTTTGGGCCCATCTGCCGCTGCAGTTGCTTAGATCCTTCGCCCCCAAGCTACTGCCGCTGGAGGGGGCAAAGGCAAGGAATTCCTCATTGTCGTGCCTTTCTGTTCGTGTTCCCAGGAATCTCTGTAGCAGCGGGCAGACGGACCCGGAAGGGAGCAGGGAGTGGCGGGAAAAAGTCGGGACTTTCTCTCACCCCCTGCGTCCCCTGAACTCTGTGAAGGCTTGATGATGCGGGGCAGTGCGCTCCTCGCTCTTGCGTTGGCCCAAGGCTTCGGCTGTTTATCGCCGCGGCAAAAGACGGTGCAGCATTAGCCGGACGAACAGGCACTCCTCTCCTCTTCCGCATGTAAATGAAGAGGCTTGACTCTTGGATTCCCAGTGCGAGGTCTTGCTCTCGCCCTCCATAGCCAGTGCCGCTCGCCCGGTTGGGCGCTCAGAGAGTGTGACCTGAATGAGATTTCTCCAGCTCGGCAGGGATTTGTTGGGCGCGGCCGAGGTCGGGGCGGTGCTTCGACTAGAGTCGAAGGCAAGTGGCTTTAGCAGGACTCCCCCAATGCAGCCAACTTTTGAAAGGTTGTTTCTCGCTTCACGGAATCAGCACATGCCATACTATCTGAAGTTTAGTGCTCTGATTGTTGAGCAAACCGCAGTTTCTGGTTGGATCCATTTTTCTTGCAAAGTGGATTTCGACATGCGCATCATCTGCTAGTCCGCACAAGCCGTGCAGGCGTCCGAGAAGCATGCTGGACAACCCAGCCAGCACAGGGCCTTCATTATTCGTGTCGGCCGTGGTGAAATCGGTTTACTGATCATTCGGGGGACCTTGAGTGCGCAAAAACATTGTCATCGTTCGTGAGGGAAGCGGGTGATGCTGCTGAATGTTTTTTCTTGATTGCCTAGCTCACAGGGCCCAGCGAATCACAGTTGCAACTACTTCTGAGATGATCTTCAGCGCCTGCGGGTACACACTTTGTGTGAGTTTGGGCACTTTCAATTACAGACAGCATCATCAAGTGGTCTGTTGAGCAGGAACCTCCCAGCGCTGTACGCGGCTTGGTCTGCGCCCGTTTCTGCTGGGAGCCCATTGCGATGCCTGCCCGAAAAGGAGAGAGAGAGAGAGAGAGATAGGCTCAAGTACTGCACCTTTGCTTGGGGGCCTGTGCCGCCTCCTTGCATCGGTAGCCTGGAGTTCGCTCCGGGGGAGCCTTCGCATCTTTCCCAGCGGTGCTTGAGTCTTGTCCGTGCCTGCTCCTTTTTTTCAAGCGGCCCAGAGGGTTTCGAAGCCACTCTCGACCCTGACGAGGGCCCTCCTTCGGGGGGTAGGGGAGAGAGCATACTCTCGGTGATCCAGCTGTACTACCGGAGGCACGACTTCGCCGATGACAAGCAGAGAGAGCACCCAGATCGGGGGGACAAACACGAAGGGCGACCTGGACCAAAGCAGGTTGCAAACCAGTGACCCAACAGGAGCAAGACGCCTTAGCGGAGAAACTCAAGAAGCTGGGGGGCCACCTGCAGAGCATGCTTAGAAGGACCCGTCTGGCACAAAGGCCACAAAAGGGGGTGTGCTACAAGACGATGCTCGCCACGGGGGCAGTCACCTCCACTGCCAGCAGCAGCTCCCTGCGGGGGAATTCCGACCCGGAGGAACACCAGCCAAAAGGCAACAGAGCCCGACCTCGAGCACGGAAGACCCCGCGCCAAGACGGGACAAGAGACACCTCCCAGCACGGCGTGAGACCAAGGCGACCGTGCCGAACAGGGGGAAGTGTGACGTGTCCGAGGAGCACTGAACCCGAATGAAAGCGAGTGAGCCGGCCGTAAAAACCTTTTGCTTGCGCCGGGGATGGGTCAGTTGGGTCTTGCTTCGGTTTTGCGGAGGTCGGTTTGTGTTGCATGTTTAGTGGCAAGCCTCAACCTTCCCCGTCACAGGTGAGAGCGCGTAAGTGTGAACGCTTTACAGGCAGGGAACCCCGCCTTCTCGGGTAAACCTCTTTCCAACACGGCCCGATCTTGGCCGCCAATCATAGGCTCTTTTCAACACACCGTCGATGCTAGCCGTTCCGATGACACACAAATGTTGAATTCGGCGGGACCTAGAGGCTGTGATTCATTCCCGGTCCCATTCGTTGCAATGATAATCGACAGCACTCGCTCGAAGCAGCGGGGTAAGCATGTTTTTCCTCGAAGCCCCCCACCTTTCCGAGCTCGCCCTTCACTGACATGCACTCTTTAGTATGACATATTCCAACATTACCCTTTGGATGTATCTGACATGTTGTGTTCAGTCCCCTTGCGGAAACTTGAAAACTTGCCGAAACCTGCAGGTGCGGGTCTCTCCTCTGTCCTGGTAGAGAGAGATGCAGTCCTTTTCTTTACGCATGCCCGATGCTCTCTCTCCAGAGGTCGAACGGGCGGGCCTACGAGAGAGAGGGAGAGCGAGACCCAGAGAGAGAGAGAGAGAGAGACAGAGGGCCCCAGCCCTGGCGAAAGAAAAGGCGAGGCCAGGTCATTACTAGTGAACTAGTGTTCAGGGGGTCTGCGACAACCTGCCGACGTCCAGATGTGCCCGAACATACGGCAAGTGAGGAGCTAACAACGTGCCCCAAAGCCTCTGCTAAACCAGTGGGGAAAGGGAAGGCACCAAAGGCTCGTTCTGACGACGGTCGGACTCTTGCCCCGTGGAGAGACAGAGAGAGGGAGAGACAGAGAGGGAGGGAGAGAGAGAGAGTGAGTTCACGCAGGCTTGTCTGATATATCATGTTTCTGTCCTGTGGCCTACCTTGACAGAGGGGATCGTGCGAAGCACCCAGCGAACGGAAGTAGAGCGCAGAGGCTTCTGGGGGTGGGAAGGTGAAGGTAGTGCTGCTGCGAGGTTCTGTTCGGGATGAGGTGGGGAGGCAGGTAGGTCGGTTTAACCTGGTAGAGTGTGTTCGCGACGGGGGAGCCAGAGACTCTATCCTGTGTTGACCGTACCTTGTTGCAGTCCATGGGGCTAGCTGGCTCTCAAGATCGCATGACAAGCGTCTGTGCCGGGAGAGTGGAGCTCGACTGGCAGGAAGACAGGGAGAGCCAGGGGTTTGTGTTTAGGGCAGTGCGTTGGTGTTGTGCTTAGTGCTTGTTTGACTGGCAGTGCTCTCCTTCTTCAAACAGCTGACTGTTGGAGTGCCCATGGATGACCTGAATGTGACCTCCGGGGTTCCGTACAATTGGTGATGGCCTTAGCAGGGGTGTGTTGTTTGGGGGCTGGGGGTTACAGAGGCACATTCGGGGGAACATGGCAAACACTCGCCCCCAAAAGGGGAAGCGCTGACAGACAACCGCGCGCCAAGGGGGTAGGCCTACGGGCCAGGGCTTCCCCGGAGGCCCATACCCCGAGCAAGCAAGCAAGCAAGCAAGCAAGTTCACGCCGACTCCGGGCATGAACACAGGCGTAGCGCGTGAGCGCAGGGCGAGGGTCTTGTGTCCCCGAGCCCAAACACCCTGCAAGCAAGAGCATTCATGTCTTGACCTGCACCCCTTCTGACTCGCCTAGTTGTATCACGCCGACACAGTCGCGGGAGTCGGGGAACCTGCACCTAGATATTTACGCTTTGTTGTTTCAAGACCGATCCCTGACTTTTGTGTCCACAGACCCGGCCACACAAGTGGCTGTGCGCTGGACGCACGCGGTAAGGGGAAACGGCTCCCATGCCCTAAAGCCTGCAGCAAGCAAGCAAGCAAGAGAAAAAGACAGAAATGGAGACAGCGAGACACCCATAAAGACGCTCGAGCGCGTCAAGCGCGGAGCGGCGGGAAAAGACCACAGAGAACAGACCCAAACAGACAGGGCGCGTCCGCGCGCAGGGGGGAGCGTTGCGCTTTCTCCTTGACTGTGTGGAAGAAACCGGCTGTGAGCGCATAGCCGAGAACGTGCAAGGTGGATGGCTTGAGCATCGTGCGGCCTCAGTCGGACCCCTTCGGCTGCTCGCCGCTTCCCAGGTCGGGCTTCGGCTTCGGCTCGTCATAGTCCCTTCTTTCGGGATCCAAGTTCTTCTTCTTCGCAAAAATTGGGTGGATGACATGCATGTGGTTTTCATGATAGGGTGCAGTTTGCACGGGAATTCCAACTACAAATACGACTACGACGGCGAATGGAAAGACAACGATGGTGACGGCGAGATGGGTCCCGCTACTGGTACCTCTGCCTCCTCTGCTGCTGCTGCTGCTGCTGCTGCTGCTGCTGCTGCTGCTGCTGCTAGGCTGCTGCTACGTTCCGCAAAAGATGCGACGACGAGGAGGATTGCCAGTACTGTTCTGGAACCTCCAATGATGCTATCAGAACCCCGGTTCTGTTACACCAGAGCTGCAGTGAACAGACGATGGTCAATTGCCCCGCTTTGCTCGGTCGGTGTCTTGTCTTGCGATGCCAGGTGTCGGCGCTGCGCACTCTTAGTGCTGCAGGGGTGCCACACCAAGCCTAAAGGTGCCACACATCCGCATGGTATCAAGTCCCGGGTGAGAAGCCAGCAAGTCTGGAATCTGGAATCGTGTCATGTCGTGCCTGTGACGTGTTGCATCTCGCGATCTGCCGAAGCCACTGCTCAACCCCTAGCAGTCGGCTGTTCATTGTCTCTACTTTTGCCAAGCTTATCAGCCGTGACGAGGCAGCTGACAAGGCAGATCCTGGGACCTTGAAGGATTATGACCGAGCTTGTCCTGTGATGGTGTTCGAGTAAGATGGCAGAATGTCGAAGCCGGACGTGCCAAGCAGACCACAGAGCTCGGAAAACTCGCTTTCAGACCAGCAAAAAAGAAGCAAACCTGCTTGCCCGGGCTTAATACATGTGGCATGGCCAGAGATGACTTTTGTGGAGGTCGGGGCCCCGAGTCGGTTTGGAACATGATTGGAAATTGTCGACCTTCGCCAGCTTCAGGTTGCAGGATGAGACTTCTTGTCGCCCTCTGGGCGCTCGCTCCGATCTGGGCCGATCCAGCAGAGGAGCCCGAAGCCTGTCTGAGCCTTTCGTGCCCTTTCACACGGGAACCTTTTGGCCAGCTCGACGCTTCCTCGGATGCTGCCGTCTCCTGCCTCCAGCGCCAGGGGCACCCGGACCCCGGAGCAAGGGGGAAAGTGTCCTTCGTAGGCGGGACTAGGTCACGCAATGAGGTCACGCCAGCAATCGGGAGAGACCAAGACTGGAACAACAGGTGCAGCCCTCTCCCGCGTCGTACGCAGCACACTCGACTGCCTGCCAGGCCGGCTTCTCTCACCAAACGACGCCCGCACCTTCGTGGGATTTGGGACTTCCGTGGTCGTGAGCTTTACCACTTTACCGCCTGGGCAGCTCAGGGCGGCGCCGAGTTCCAGTTCTGCATCTCGAGGATCGCTGCCGCGTTAGTGTTCCCCTATGTGTTGCCTTCTCCTCTTTTTTTGTCTCTGTTCTTTCTGAGAAAAAACAGGCCTTCCGCTCGAGGCAGAGCTGGGTCCGGCTTTCAACGATCGTGCCTCAGTGCCCACCCTCAGAGTGCGCGGAGTGTGGCGCTTTGTGTCGCCACACTCAGGATCCGTGTGGGCCGGAGCAGCCCTCCACAGGCTTCGCCAGGCTGCGTGGGAACTTGCCTGCTGCAGACTGGGGGGCTGGAGAGCGTGGTCGGCATAGTCTGGGCACCGAGCGACTCGACACTAATCTGCTGCAGAGTCGAGCTGACAGTGTAGCGAGCAATGTCCTACGATATAGTGTCGGAGATTGCGGCGAAACCAGCCTTCTAGGTGTTGGTGAACGGAACCTGAAGTAGCGAGTCGGTGCTATCAGTGATCTGTGGCTCCCAAAATGAAGCAGATGTCATTCCTGCAGCAGCTAGTGAATCAGAAGTCATATCTAGTCATGACATGCTTTTGCGATTGTGGGTCAGGCTCGAGCGGCCGCGACATGACACTTCGGACCTTTTCATTGACCTGACAGACGTGCTTCAGAATGGCAGTGCCCCTCCCTTACAGAGGACCCCAGAGCTACGACGGATTTGCGATGGATTTTCGAGAGGATCCACTCTTGGCTTTGGAGTTCTTGCATGCTCGGTTCGGCAAGCATCTTGTAGCTACACAACACCTCCGCGAGAAGTTTCGACTGCAATGTACCGGCCTCCATCGCAAACCCTATCCATGGCTCGGATGACAAGAGCCCATCAGCAAGTAGATCAAGAGCGCACAGCTCTCCGAGCACCTACGAGAGAATCAGAGATGTTGCCACTTTATGCAAAGCTTTTACACAGGATGAGGGCCGGGAGCCGCCTTGGGCGACAAATGTGGATCATGATTTCAGCGGGGGGTGCTCTCTCAAGTGATGGCAATGACTTGGCAATGCCTCCCATCATGCAGCACTATGGGCATTTTGCTGGAAGATCTTGTCTTCAACCAGAGTTGCTTGAGGTCACGGTCCTGGTGACGGCGATGAGTGCGAATCTTAACATCTTGCTATGCATGTCTGTATGTCTGGCACATCTTGGCCAGTTTCACAGGGCAAATCGCTGTTGAGCCTGTGCAAGGTCTAGATGGTGCTTACAGCGATGTGCCATGAGCCCAGCTTGAATACGGACTGGGACAGGAGTTGGCCATGGAGTTTTACTGTGTTTCCTGTACAGATGTAGCAGTTTCTACTGAGTGGAGCTGTGCCGTTAAGCGCCTCCTGTCTTTTCAAACCTTTGCAGGGACGGCTTCGACGTGACCCGGGCAGAGCCTTTAGAAGACACCGTGCGCCTTCCCAGCTTTGTGGTGGCTTCGTGACATGAAAGCACGTTTTCGTGGCGTGGGGAACAGGAGAACTCGCTGTTGGTCCTGCGGCTATCGAAAAGCGGCGAAGGCTGGCGCTCGCGGGTGGCTTGCGGGCTTGCCCGGCTTGCTAGTTCCAGATCGTCATGCAGCTTGAGATTGGATTGGTTTTTTCCAGCTTGCCGTTGCTGTCCCGGTGTGGACCTCAAGCGCGTTGACTTACCCAAATAATGCCACATGTGAGACACCGTAGTAAATGCAGTCTTGGCATAGCTGAGCAGTTTCAGCCGGTAGTCCGCAGAGCCTTCAGATTCGCGATTGCACAGAGTACTTACAAATGATGGAGATGAACTCGACAACACAAAGCCGGCGTGTCCCGCGGCCAGAGCTTTTACGTAGACCATATGTGTGGCGATGGCAGTGGTCTCTCGGAAGACTCGGAAGAGAGGCCTTGCACTGATGAGTCCGCACATCCTCTTGTGGCAAGCTCCATCGTCAAGAAGAGGGCATGCTCCCTGCGGTGGGTAGCCCTCTATTGCTCTGTATCGCTTGTGGGTCTCGCCGTTGCATGTCTGGTGTTCAGTGGATGGCGTGTTGGACCTAGCATAGCGCCACGAGCTGCAGCAGATGTTCCTCTTCTTGGCCTAGCGCATGTCAGCCCGGAGACCAATCACGTGTTGTGTCTCACAGACATAGGCCAGATAGTCAGTCGCATCGTGCTCCTCTCCAATGCCATCGATCGAGCAGCAGGGGACTGCGATTTTGAAGGTATACGAAGGGACAAGGGCTTGGGTAATGTAACGTCACTTGATCGAGAAATCTGTGCCAGCACCATCTTGGTCATAATGTTGAATGCGAATCTGATTACAGGCCTGCTCACCGCATCAATCTCAACTTGCACGGGGGCTCTCAATGTTCCTGCGAACTGTGGAACCAACATCGCAGCCTTCCTTGGTGGAACGTCTATCCTTCTGCAGTCGGTAGTTGCAGTTGACATTAACTGCGTCAAACTGGAAAATCTCCCAATTCAAACCAAGATCGATGTGGCTCTCGAACGGGCCCAACGGGAGAAGGAAAAGGCAATCCGCAGTGCCCAGAAGTTTGTGAAGAATGCCGGCTTTGAGGTCGATGTACTCCCAGCTCCGCCTGCCGTGCCAACAAAGACTGTGTACACAGCCACGTCCCTGTGTTTCGCATTCATTAACCTCGGGCTCACGCAAGTCATGAAGCTGGGGATCATCCTGGCAGACAGCAGCATCCACTGCACACGCAAGGAAAATGCCAGGCAGCCGCGAGTGTGTGCCATTGACATCGTCGGAATTCTGATACTGTGCAGCGCCATTACACGTATCTTTGCCCTTGCGGCGAACCAGTGCATTCGGATCGTCGGAGACACGAATCCGAGCACCAGGTGCTTGCAGGCCTCTGCCGGCGTGTCTGCAGGCGCCTTGGCAATCACTGCGAGAAGCCTGAACCTGAGAGCGGCGTGTGAGAAGGCCTTCAACGACTGGCATCCAAACGAGTGGCTCGAAAAGGCCCTCGGCGAGGGACACGAAAATGTGCATTCGGGAATTCCAGATCACCTGCACTACGAGCACATTCGCTCCGGTACTTTGGAGGAAGACCTCGCGGTGCCTGCAGAGGACGGCAATGTGATCATTCCTGATGAGTAGGCAAAGCACGTGCTCGCAGCCTTGTTCTTCAAGTTTTCGTGGACGCAGCAAGGGCTGCGTCGCGCGAAGCGATGCCGTTATTTTCCGCACTTTTAGTGGTTTCGGGCCTCTCAGATATCTCAGCCGAGCCGTTCTGGAGCCCTTAATAGGTTCGTGTGGTTGAGCCTCGTCACCGACCAGAATCTTTGTATCGGGGCAGTGTAGTGGTTGCTACAGTAGCGGTGAGAGCTGGTGGAGGCTTGCCCTTATAGAGCTTCCTTCGCGAGCCCAAGGCTGGGCCTGCGAGGCCACCTGGTCCCTTTTGCCAAAGACGGCGTGGGCGCAAACAACTCCAGAGCTGATTGGAGCTCAGGTGTTTCAGTGCGCCCAGGCCCTATGCCTGCTTTACTGCCAAGCAGCGAAGCAAGATCGATAATACCTGCATGTGATTTCCAACGTGGGCAGTGTGGTCGTGCTGCCTTGATTGCACGAACTGTTGCTGCCCCAGCCATTCCGGACTTCTCTTTTCAGCCAAGACGGCTCAGAGAAGTATTCCACTGAAAAAGCCCGCAGTGGCATATCGACGCCTTTGTCGATGACGCGCTCTCTCTGTGTGCTTTCTGTCCTGATTTTAGTGGGGTTCGCTTGAACGCATAACTGTGGACTCACATCCTTATGCAACGCCTCGAGTGAACGGAATAAGCTCGCACGACCCCAGCAAGGCTTCATTATGGATTTCTGGGGACCGGAATGACAGCATGGGGCTATTCCAATATGACGTGAGAAGCTACATTCGTGACAGGTTTTGCAGACATGTGCACGCGAACCCATGCACCACAGGGTCCACAGCAGCAATAGCGGGCACTTCTCTCTTCAGGCATCGACTTCTACCGACCGAGCCTGGGCATCCGCACCTCGGACAACCAGTCCGAAGAGGCCTTCGGAGATGCCCGGAAAGCGACCAAGTCTCCCTCTTCGGCAACCCTGGAACAAAACAAAACCTTAGTTGCCAAACCCCTTTCAGCCTGAAAGGGCAACAGGTGCACTTGGCACAGCATTTGAGCTGTTACCGTTTCCAACCTCCGAGATAGCATGTTCGTCGGCCATGAGCTCCAGCTGGCCTTGATGCAGGCAGTTCACCGCGGACTTGGTGACGGTTGGCTCGGAAGCCTTGAACGGCTCCACTGCAGAGGCGCTGGGCCTGTGCCATCTACGTCGCCGACCCTTGCACATCGTTTGTGAGGAAATCCCAGCCGTATCGTCATCAGTGGGGTGAAGCTGATTTGGGCCGGCTTCTTCGCTGTGCGGGCCTTTCTTCTTTGATCTGTTCCAAGTTGGTGGGGGCGAGTCGGCTTCAGGCCAGCATTGCAGCTGATGCCGCGGACTATCGTATTCTGCAGGCTGTGTTTGTTGGAGCGAAATGTCCAGTCGCCGATATCATCGGCACGCACTCATGGAGGCTCGCGGCTATGCCAAGAACTTCGATGTCTCCGTGGAGTACCTGATGAGACGGGCCCTGAGCGGGCTGGGTGTTTCCGTCGTGTGATGATTGCTATCTGGGTACCGGAGTGTGGAGCGCAGCGCGGCGCTAGGCCAAGTAGGCCTTTTCAACATCTATCTGAATCTATCTCTATATGACTATATGTATATATGACATATGTATGCATTACACATATTTAGATACATGTTCATGCATTCATATACATAATATATATATATATATGCATATATATATATGTGTGTATATATATATATGCAGAAATATGTAAATATGTAATGTATATGTATGTATGTGTGTATGTATGTATGTATGTATGTATGTATGTATGTATGTATGTATGTATGTATGTATGTATGTATGTATGTACGGTTGCATCGGCCATGTGTTGTGTTGGCGGCATCTCGCATTTATGCTTTGATGACGGGGCTGCTTCCTAGCCCACATGACATTACATTTTACTGATGCCATTTCTGGTGTTTGGCATAGGTGGGCAAAAAGCCAAATCTCATCTTTATCAGCACTTGTGTAGAGACACAACCTGTTGATCAGACCAGAAGGACAACTTTGCTGCCCCAGTATAAACGGACAACTCGGGCGTGTCATGGCATCATCTGCATCTCAGGTAGCATGGCTCCTCTTCGGGCGTCAGACTTACTTGCTGGTCGTTCACAGCAAATTTACATGAAGGGAGCTACTTATCGCACCTTGCCTTTCGGTTCAATAGCTTTCTGAGGTTGGCTACTCGTTGGTCTTGCTGCCGGAGGCCTCTGGAATTGAAGAGGGTAGCTTGGGGGGGGGGTGTTTCTGGACCTCGTGCTTGGCGGAGAGTTCTGCTTGGATGGCTTCCCGCTCTCAGCAGCTGTGGCGCAAATTCCATGCTCGCTGCGGCTGATAATCAAGTGCACAGGTTCCAATGGCTGCACGGCCGAGTGATGACAGGTGCTGCACTCAGAAGGATTCAGAAGGCGTCCCAGTAACCTAGTATGCAATAATCATGAAAGATATTCTTTTATGACGCACATCTTCGAGTAAATTATAATCATTGAATCAGCAACGTTCCCTGGCAGTGTTTCGTTTGCTGGCAGTGTTTCGTCTAGCACGCAGCTTTAGTTTGACGGCCACGAAGTCAGTCGGGCTTGTACAGAGTACGCACCCTTTCTGCAGCAAGGGTACCGGGCGGATATGCGAGCTAGGTTGAAGGATGTTGAAGGCAACAAGGGGGTAGACTGTTCGTGCTTCATGCAGCAGGAACCGGAACGATCCCTTCCGCGTGCTCTCAGGCTACTCTTCTTCGCCTCTGAGTTCCAAGATCTCGGCTACCGCCAGGCAACCTGCCACATGGGTTGCGAGGACACCGCAGTTTTCGGTGAAACCGGGACGAGTCGTGACACGAGGGGCAAGGATGTGCTGAGATGCCTGGTTTCGCAATGTTTCGCCTTTCGTCTGTTTCGTGGGACCTGCCCTGTTTCGGCATTAGGGCAAGACTCGCAAAGCCCCAAACCCTGGACAGTGACCGGGCCTCAGGCGTGTAGGCGGACTCCCCGAGTAGAGGGGTTCCTGCTTGCGCAGGCCGCAGGTGCGGAAGCTCCCAGCCACGAGATCGACCGGACCACGACTTCCATCTGGCGCTACAACCTGGAGGCGTGGATGCCTTCGGGTTTTGGGTTTGACGTTTTTGTGTGGAGACGTTGCAAAACCTGGCGCAAGGCTTTGCCAGACCAGCAGATCCGTGCCAACCTTGATCGAATTGCTTGTTTTTGCTGTGCTCTGCTCCGCACTGCCATGCCGCTGAATTTGGGATGAAAGCATGCTGAGGCATTCATGTAGACTTTTCGGTGCCCGAGCGCTGGCGTGAAGCTTTCCGGCAGGGCATCGAGGCATCTCTGCAAACAGAGAAGGAGAGAGAGAAACAGAGAGAGAGAGAGAGAGAGAGCAATGCCACGTACAGTGTCTCCCTGAAAGCCCCAGAACGCTGGGGGGCCCTATGGGCCGGGGAGCCTGACCAGCTCCCTTAACCTGAAGGAAGAAGAGCAATGCCACCGCTTTGCTAACACATTGGGTGGTTGGGCGGGCCAATGGCCTGAGGGTCGCGCAGACGACCCCTAAGCCTTAAGCCCTGCAGAAAGAAAGACAGAGAGAGCAGGACTGTCTGAAGAGAGCAGGACGGTTTGAGGTTTTGTATTGCATAGGTTGGAGGCGGGTTGGGGGTTTTAAGGTTCGTGAGAGTTTTCGCCTCGCCTTGGCCAGGCTTGGAATCTCGCCTTTGTGCCGCTTGGACACCCGCGAGCTGTGAGGGGCGTCGTCCCAGGCGATGAGGCGCCGGCCCAGCGTGCGGTCACTCGCGCTCGCGTTCCCAAAGCTGTGCCTCCGAAGGATTGGCCCAAGGCCCGGCGGGAGCCCTTGCGAAGCGATGCGGGGAAGTGTGCAGCCTCTGGAGTCTAAATCCGACTTCGCTCCGACTTCGCGGGGTGTTTGGTGGGCTGTGCTTTGCCTGCCATGTTACAGAGCGATGCAGGACTACGACATGTCCGATGCCCGCTTCAGCACGATCTCGTGGGATTTAACAGGCGGCCCTGGCCGGCTTGAAAGGTGCTGGGGTGCAGATCTCTCCCCGCATAAGTGAATGTGCTGCTGTTAAGCATGTCGTGTGCACCACACCAGCCGTGCACGATCAAAAAAGGGACATGAATCGATCTTTCGCTGCGGCTGCCTGCCAGATGAAGTTGTCAGCATGGGGGTCGCGAAAGCTGGAGCCTTGGACGCTGAGCCGCTGCCAAGCAACGTTCACATGACACGCTTCGGCGATGCAGATGGCTTGCTGATTCAGAACGATCTAGAGCGGAAGCTCTCGGCGAAGCTTTGCTAGACAGCTCTCGATGCTGTGTCTAATCTGGCAAGGTAGATCCCCGGAGTGGTGAAATTGTCAAGGGCGACATCACGATGTCCAGCGGTCTTGGCCCCAGTACTGCGAGCGACTGACTGGCTCCGAGGGCAGCGAGTCGCGCAGGTTGGGTCAAAGCCTGGCTTGAAGACATCGATAGCTTGGCGCCGGGGAGCCAAAGACGTTGCTTTGGGGCAATTCGCTGTCTTGCACCGAGGGGGCCCAACTCCCATCTTGGCCACTCCAGGCCCGGCCTCACGCACCTGGTCTTGCCTCGCGGTCCGAGCTCCGGGCGGGGGCCCTGCTTTGTGCCGCTGAAAGCTTCGGACGTCGGAGAGTGGAACTTGTCGAGGTTGAAGCTCTTGCAGACGGGGCGAGGTCAGAGCCGTGTTGGACGTGGTGTATCCCTCCAAATCCTGCAACCGCTTGAAAAGGCCAGCACCAGCGTGCGTGGCGGAGACTCGAGAGAGGCACACCAGATGGCCCGGGAGTCACCCGTCCTGCGAAGACTCCAAGACTGGCACGTTGTGGCGCCAGGTCACGCCTCCCGAGCGGCGCTCGCTCGGCAGAAAGGCGGTCAGAGAAGCGCCGCCCTGAACGCCACCTCGATCGAGGATGGGGTCGGAACCTCTCCTCCTCTTAACCGATTGCAATTCTACAGTCTTCGCAGGACCTCGTGGCGACCGGCTTGCGGGCTATCGTCGCCTGGCAATCCCTTTCAACTTTCTAAGAGCAGTTCACGGAAACAGCCGAAGTGTCATACTTTGGGAATCGCCATTGCGCCGTCTTGTGAGGTGATGCATGAGACCGGCCACATCTTGGGCCTGAGGCCTGCAATGCTCGTCGATTCGTCGTTTCCGTTCCGGTGCTCTGGCACTTCACATTCCAACCCTGCGCTGCTCGCTTATATACACTGCGAACTACCTGCTCTTGGGTCGAAGTCGCATGGGAGGCACAACTTCAAGGGCAGCCTGGGCATCTCTTTGGACTGCCTGAAGGCCAGGGCTGGCAGGAGCCAGAAGCCCCGCAGCGCACAACAGCATGGTGGTTCAGTCCGACATACGCATCTCGATCGGATCGGCAAGCATTGAATGTTCAACGTGGCAGGCCAAAGCCTGCACTTCCGAGCATGGCTTGTCGGCCAGCGCACGGCCCTGAGATGGCGGCCAGAGCTCGAGCGCATTGGCACGCGTCCATTCCCCACAATAGCCTGGTAAAAAGACAGTGCTCGGAGAGGTCATGGACTATGTGCCTCCGAATCTACAAGGGACAGATGCAAGCTCGCTGGAAGCTCCACGGTTGCACTGGGCATGCAAGCTCCTTTTTATTTTTGCAACATGTTGTGAGAACGCTCCTGGGCTTCCGTCTTGTTTGAGGTCGATGTCTTCACCCCTGTCGTCGGAGACTACGACAAGCAGGCCATAGCTTATGGCTACCGGGCCGTGGACCAGGCCTCCGAGCTTCCGAGTGACTTTTTTAGCACCGTAGCCTCTCTCTCTGAGCCGAGGAGGCCTGGCCCAAGGTGGCCCCGGAGCTGCAGGAGACGCAGAGAGACGCAGAGAGACGCAGAGCCCCCGAGCACTTTTTCCGAGGCCTCTAAGGTGGGAGCCGCCAGAAAGGAAGGGGAGAAGGTGACAGGAAGCGACTTGGCCATGTTGGCCTGGCTGGGGGCGAGCGGAAGGAGCAAGAAAAGGCAGGCAGAGAAGGGGCTTTGGCGAAGTAATCCTGCTCAGTTCTGAGGAAGCCTCATGCGTGGCGATTAACTGCACTGATTCGTCAGACGCAAGATAAGCCAAGAGATGGCGATGACTGGCATTGAAAGTCGATCAAGCAGTAGATGCAGTAGATGAAGGGCAGCGAATTCGGACCGTGCTTTCCTCGGAGCTTGTCCGTTCTTCGCACCAAAATTGGGGAGCCTCAAGACCCTTGCCACACATTTGCGGGAACGACGCCTGCCAGATTTCACGCTCTTTCCTACCAGAGCCTGCTTCATCCGGCTTGAGACTTTCAGCGCAAGCCTGCCAACCTTGCCACTCTTCTTGGAAAGCTTTGCAGTGCTGCTGCGAACTGTGCGACTTGCATCGCTGCAGGAGATCTTGAACGCTGCTGAGCAGTTCGAGGCCGGTAGCCTTGCACCAGCCGCCCTGGACATTCGATCCCATGCTCGATCGCCGCACTTGGTTCAGAAGACATGGGCCGGATGCTGAAGCATAGCTCCCACAAGATTCTAGATTCTAGAAGAATCTCCAAGGGAAATCGCTGGCCGACCACGGAAGCCTCAGACAAAGGCGGAGACCACTTAGAAGTAGAGACCAATGTGGCGCCTGGCGCTCGGACTGCTCTGCAGCTCCGATGTGGTAGCACTAGGCCTGGCCGAGCCTTCTGACATTCGGAACTTACATAGATGCAGCGGCTACTAAGAGCATCTGAGCCGGGATCCCCCATCATGAATCCTGCTGGTCTAGGACCAAATCTCGAACCAGGAACCTGCGATGATTGGCCTTTTTAGAGTGTTTTAGGGTCCCCGAAGCTTCGTTCCCCTGAGTCGTGCAGAGAGGCTCCATCTCGGTTGATCCAACCTCCGGCCACTTTGTGGACAGCTTTGGCCGTGTACGCCTTTTCCATGGTGTCAATGCAGTTTACAAGGCCGGGTCTTTGCCCAAGCAGCGGTTGAAGCTGTCTGCAGCACCTGCGCGCAGCAGCTGTTCCAGACGACGAGCATTGGGCCTCTGACGGTCGCGAACCCTTGCATCACACCAATCCCAATGCATAGTCGGAGCTGTCAAGAAGGGAAAGGCTAAAAGCCGTAGTTACTCGCAGTTTAGTTTGCAGGAAGCTCCTTGGCTGCCAGACGTCGAGAATTTCTCCGCGGAGGACTCCCTGGACCCGACCACGATGGAGCTCCTGAAGGCATAGGGCCCCCAGAGCGGCAATTATATTGCACCCGACACTTTGAGAATCTCCGCAGGAATGGGGCTTCAATGTGGTGCGACTGGGAGTGCGGCTCGCCCACACTCGGCGGTGTGGTGCTGACAGCGCAGCTGTGCCTTGACAGGATGTGGCCAGGAGTGGAACCGGAGCCAGCACGCATCGATAGTGGCTCCTGCCTCAGCATTGCATCTTCGACTTTCTCGTGCCTGCCGCTTCGTCAAAGTCTCAACAAAGAGAGCGGCAGCCAAAATCGGTCTCCAGAGTTCTGGAGGCTACCTGCAGAGGGTGAAGCGCCTCACCCGTGACCTCGCGGAGCACGGCATCTACACGATCGCCGACCTACATCAGGCATACCTGGCAAACTCTTTCACCAGAATTTCCGTTTTCATGGACATGTGGGACTCGTTGCAGCGGCGGGTCAATCTGGTTTGGCTTATCTGGGCCTCGTGAAGCAAAGAGTCAGTCGGCGAGTAAAGCAAGGACATTGGCTCGAGCCACTTCTGTGGCGAAGGCGTGCCAGAGGCCAGCAGATGTATTCATTTCTACAGCATTTGCCTCGTTGCTGCTTCTCGGGGGACCCCAGCAATGCCTCTGCTGGTATAGCAAATAATCACAGTGATGTGGACTAGTGTGCCACACAGCTGCTGCAACGACAAGTATGGTTATTGGTGAGGCTTACGTGGATGCTTTGCTGCGGGATCCGCACAGTCGCATGGCCCAGGCTCCGAAGGGAACGGGTCGAATCAGAGCAAGCTTCTTGCTCTTCCAATGGTTTGCATCGTGTTTACTACCATCCCCATTACTCGTAATCGTTGCCAGTACAGCTACAGCTACGATGACTGTTGTTGATTTTTGCTGCATATTGCTGCTGTTGCTGTCGCGGCTGTGGGCACCGGTGCCGGTGAATGTTTCGCAAGGTACCGCGCTTCCCGGAACCCCTCGCAAGCAACATTCCGCGCAACGGCTCCGGCTTCCCCGAAAGGGCGGAGTGCTTGAAGAGGCTCTGCGTTTCGGGCTGAGCGCTTGGCGAAGAAGGTTGGGGCTTCGGCTTCGGGATTGCAAGCGGAGGGTTTGGGGTTCGAGGAATGCTTAGGGCTTTGGGCCTGAAAGTGCAACACGCCGACGGAAGCCGATGCGCCAGGCTTTTCAGCGAGTACTACAGCACCTTCCGGGTCGGTGCTCTCTGGGCCGAGCTTTACCGAGAAGGCGCTTTCATGAGGAACGGTGACGAGAAATTCGAGCTCTGGTTTTCGCTGGCCATGCCGGCAGGCTCCCAACTTTACGAGGGCTTTCTGCGCTACTGGACCGCAGTGGCCGAAGAATTCAAGGCAGAGTTCCTTGAGTCGCGGCTGCCCACAGGAGAGCTTGTGGTCATGGTCAGGATGAGCCACAGCTCATGGCTTTCGAGCTCCTGAATGAGCCGTCCGGCACCTGTTTGGAGGCGATGCCTTTTTTTCTTCCCTTAAGCTCTTTCACCCCTCGCAAAGCCTGTTGCCAACACTTGCGGGAAGAGGTAACTGCCGATTCAGTGCAAACTGTCCGGCTGGAGAAAGCACGCCACGTTAAAGGACAGGTTCGTTCGCAACGCGATCACATGTGTGTGTGTGTCTCTGTTTGAATATGGAGTATGTACATGTGCAAAGGCCGGGAACAGTCTCGATAGCCAACACCAGCATGACCTTTGCACTACTACAATCCGAAGTAGAACTCGACAGGAAGGAAACCGCGGACTTGCATCTCAAGCCTCTTGCAAAAGATCTGTTTTGTTTTTGGGTCAACACGTTTCTCTCATTTGGAACTTGAGTCCTCCTTCAAGCCATGCAGCATGCAGCTATCGAGCCTTGCTTCCAGGCACGAACGGCTCCAGAATGTCTGCTGAGCGGCGAGGCAAGCCTCTGTTCCCATCAAGAAAACTTCCAGGCAGTGTGGCCTCATCAGTAATTTTGCCAGGCGATGCCGATCCGGTTCAATAATGACATCGAGGCAGGACGTGTTAAACGTTCCACACCATCAACCATACGTCGTTCGAGTTGTTGTTTTTCGCAGCAAGTCCTTTCGTTGATTCCAACAGCCGAAAATGGCAGCAGCCTTTACGATCGAGCCGTGTGGTCGAGCGAGCATGGCTTTCGTGAACTTGCACCTCACATTACATTGCGTTACACTGCATGACACGGCATGGCACGACACTGTTGCCGCAGTTGGCAGTTCCTGACATCATACATCAAATCACATCACACTAGATCACATTACAAGCATTAAATTGCGGTACAAGTTACAGTACGTGCAATGACAGTGCATCTCAGGCATGATTGGCATGCTACGCACGACATACGCTATATACAGTACATACACGCATATCACCCATTGTGGGTGTTACTTTCCTTACACACAAATGACGTGCATCATTCCATACGTGACATGCATGACATACACACGACATGACATACACATGACAGACATTAGGTTTCATCACATACACACACATTTTTTGCATACAATGCATACATTACATGCACGACACACCTTGCATGAATGTCTTACATTGTATACATGGCATGCATTACATATATGAAATGCAGTCCATTCAGTTTCTACATGACATAGATGACATATAGATTACACATACAGCACATGTACTGCCTGCGGATGTGCCTAACTCTGAACAGCGATGAGCGCCTTGCGAAGGAACAAAGACTTATGCCTCTCTATCAGGCCCGAGGGGCCGAAAGGGCACTGATGTTGTGGACACTGCGAAGCAGACTTGATCATAGCTCTGCACGTGCAAGAGGTAGGCGTCAGGGCTTGCGCTTCCATGGTTTCCACAGCTTCTTGCGGACTGCGAGGCAGCGGCTCGCGTCATCCGCGGTGCAGGAGCTCCGCAGGTGCATGGGGAGAAGCCAAAGGCGGAATGGCGAGCGCGCCGCGGTCCCTCTCGGTTCAGGTCATCCTCTACGAGCCGACGGTTTGGCCCAAAATTGGGACAGAGGCGTGGCAGCTGCGGCCGTTGTCGGCCTGACATGGTCAGAGTGTGGCAGCCGGGCTCAGGTTTTTCCCGGCCCAGCTCTTGGGGATGATCCTCAACAGGGTCTTGCCTACCACATCTACTGCGCACCAGGCACTCCGAAGTGCCACTGATCGCCCTGCAGTCAATGAGTCCTAAGGGGACGGCAGCAGCGCCCTCGCCGGTTTGATATGCGATGCTGCGCAGACCATCTTCGACCACGTCTCAGGGTTTACGCTGTTCGCTGTCCCACCTGCAGTTCTTTTTAGGGTGTTTGCCCCAAGGAGCGCACCTTCTACCCCTTTCTGCAAAGACACAAGCGCCTTGTGGGCTTCATGACGGAGCCCTTGTCCCCGTCTGGTGGTGTGAGATAGGAGCGACACGTGAGTTCCTTCATGGGTCATGCACCGCAGTCCCGCCAAGGAATTCGGTGCCGTGGGGGGCAACAGCAGAGAGCTGGCACACCTCAGAGGCGGGTCTTGAAGGAGCGTGCACCTTGAATGAATCTCGGAGCTATTCTGACCGAGACATGACATAGCACTAAGTTGACCGATATCTTATGTCGCACCCCGGTTTGACATGGCAGAATCAGAAGGGTCTGACATCGCAGCAGGATTTGCCGTCGCAACAGGACAGCACGTCACACCGGCATCTCACATCGCACCAGAGTTTGACATCGCAGCAGGACTTGACATCGCGTCCTGTCTGCAAAAGCAAGCCGTCGACCATGGCAGAAGACCGCGAGAGTCCGTTTTGAGTTCAGGGATACGGGAGTTAGATCTCACAGACTCTCACGCGATTGCCCCGACATCGCGTGATGACCCCTGAGATCTTTTGCAAGCAGCGGACGATCACCTGCAAAGCTGGACATATTGGCAGCTGAAGAAGTTCAGAGACTTCACCACCGTGACTTGCACGGTGTTCTTATTGTTGCGGCATTGCATCCCACTAGTTTGTTGCGACACAGCTGTCACCGTGGAGTCTGGTGAGCCTGCTGCCAGTGAAATCGAGAGAGCACCGAGCAATCGTTGCGACCGAGTCCTGATTTTTGAGTGGGCCATGGATGGCCGTGGCAGCTAAGGCGAATGCGCAAGAGGCGCTGTTCACCGCTGACGGTCGTGTCGAGACAGCGAAGTTGCGCACGCTTTCACGCATCTCGGCGAAACCAGGCTCTCCTCCCTTTCCTAACTCTTTGTCACTCGCACTCGCTGTCTCCGCCCAGGCACCTACGCGGTCGCCACAGCGGGCGTTCCCACGAAGATGCATTTCGAGGCCGGGGTCTTCGAGCTCGACTTCGTTGCCACGGTGCAGGCGCGAAATAGAGAGACCCAGGGGGCTGAGCGAAGGAGGGGAGGAAATTCGCACGAGCGGTGCAAGGAAGCTCCGACAGAAATCTACCTGAACGAGGCCGGGAGGCCAACCCAGGGAGGGAGTTGGACTGTGCCTATTCGGGCGTCTGAGGCACTGCACTACCCGGAGGGCTACTCGATAGCTGTGGACCCTTCAAACTGTTTAAATGCTCCTCGGCGATCATCAGTGCTGGGGCCGGCGGCGTCTGCGAAGCTCCGCACTCTGCATGCGGCCGCAGCCCAGGTGCACAAGACACAGCGAAATTATTTGAATCTGACGCTCGCACCTGGCTGTCTGGGCCAGCTGCTGAAATTCAGGCGAGGGAGAGCTGAGAGAAAGACGGAGGAGGGGGCCTCTTGCAGGCTCTTCGCCTCGGAGCCCGTAGCCATCCGAAGCCTGTGCCAGGCTCTGGCCGGCTGCCACGCAGAACGTTTGAGCTGACAGAAGCGCAGCAAAACATGCCGGGTCCTGGCGTCCGACCGGCCAGGGGTCTGCTGAATTGCCTTTGCATAACGATGGATTCGGTAGATGCTTAATTTAGATGTCCTGTCTACTGAGCGTGGAATGGTTGCAGCGCAATTCCCATGCCACAGCCAGGTGTGCTATGATGACGACATGGACGTGGAAGATCCAACTTGCATGGCCTACGACATGAGCGAGGCGTCGAGTCGAGACGAGCAGAGGGAGGAAGAACAACGAGGGATCGTTGCTGTGCAGGATCCAATCGGCTTCTACGAGCAGGAGTTCGCCCGTTATGTGGAAGTGTCCAAAGGCCTTTTGGAGCCACTCTGCTGCAAGGTCTTGTTAGAGCTCACAAAAACTCGTGAGAATGGGGCAGTCGTCGCACAACAGAGTTGAAATCAGACACGAGAAGAACTGGAAGGCTGCTGGAAGCCAACTATCTTGAAAGGCTTGAAAGGGAATCACTTGAGCCAGGTATGTGTAGCCTGATCTTGTACTCTTCTCGCAAGTCTTCTTGATTCAAGGGCCTCCGTCGCGCCGGGAGAACCCTTGGCCTTGTACGGCGAGGTGGGCCTCTTAACACCCAGGATTTTTGTTGCAGGCTTGGGGTTTTAGCTTTACCACAAAAAACCTTTGGGGGCTTGAAATCTAGCCAACATGTGAATTTATGACTTCGGGTTCTCTCCCGGCATCTTTCTTCCCCTCGGGTTTGAGGTTTGCCATCCACTTTTTTTACTGTAAAGGTTTGCCAGGCAGTCTTTATTTTTCAGAACGGAGGTTTGTCGAGCTACGTCTTTTTCCTTTAGGGTTTGGGGGTTGCCTCCCCATGTTTTGTTTATGATCTTCCCGCGATCTGCCTGCTGGAACTGGGCTTTCCAACCAATGTTTCTAGTTTAGGTCTAGAGCCCTAGGGTTTGCTGTGTGATGCTTTAGCCTGTTGCGTTTTTGGGTTTGCCATTCACGATCATGCTTCTAAGGTCTGGGAAATGCCATCCAATACTTCTTCTTGAAGTTTAGGGTTTGCCATCTAAGATCTTCTTCGTTTCAGCGTTGGGAATTGCCACCCAGGATCTTCTTTCAATGTTTACGGTTTATTAGCTCAATTTTTAACCTTGAAGGTCTTAGGTTTATCAGCCGTCGTAGTGTTCAAGCTGTTTCCTTTAGAAGTTGGAGACTGCCATCCAACCCACGATCTTCTTGTCATGTTTGGCGATTGCCGCCTACTCGCTTCTTGTAGGACTTGGGATTTGCCACCTGCGATTGTCTTCTAGGATTTAGAGTTTGCCAAACATCACCTCGGGCCATTCGCGATGATTTTCCAAAGCAACATGCGTTTTCAAGGTGCAGGGTCTGTGCCATCCAACATTTTGCCTTGAGGGCTTGGGGATTTGTGACCCTGGGGCTTGCTTGCCGCCTACTTTGTCTTCACTCAAGGTTTGTAACGTTTGGGAATTGCTGTCCAATGTCTCTTGTTCAACACCTACTATCCTTTTCCGTTAAGGTTTAGTGATTTCCAACTACAGTCTTTCAGGGCTTTGAGTTTTGCGACTCCCATCTCCTTGTAAGGTTTCACTTCGCAGCCAATTTTGTCATTCATGCTCTTCTTTTTAAGGCTAGGCATGCGCGATTTTCTATTAATGTTTGGAGGTTGCTTTCTGGACTTGGGGTTTGCCACCTGCGATCTTCTCCTCGGGTTTCGACTCTGCCTAGCAGCAGTAGTCTAGTAGTAGTAGTAGTAGTAGTAGTAGCAGTAGTAGCAGTAGTTCTTCGGTGTCACACCAATCGTAGTAGAATTTTGAGCTGCGGCTTGTCTCAAGGACTGGCTCTGGATGTTTGGGAGTCTTCCCCGATGTTTGCCGAAATCGGCCCCGGTATTTTGTGGTTTCTTCTTGTGGGTTGCAGTTGTTTTTCGATCGGTCTTGCGGGCTTTCGAGATTTTTCCGCACCGGTCCGCATCCCCAAGGCGAGAAAGTCTGATGATATAGGCGAAGTTTGCGTGAGGCGGTGACGAACCTCCTTGGGCGGGTCGAGGCGCTGGCGGCGAAGGTGGTGAGCTGGGTCGGTGGCATCAAGGCGCGCTTGTGTGGTCACTGTGTCTACGCAGCACTTCTCAGTCACCAACTGGCGAGGACGGCTACAAACATCGTGGCCCGCAAGGCGAGCTGGCGCAATCAAGGTGCCGTGCGAGGATAGCAAAGACTTAAAGAGTCGAGGGCACGATCGAGGGCCTCAAAGTCGAGCTTGCTTCGTCGCGACTTTGTCCTCTCAGGGCACCCATCTCCCGCGCGTTGCAGCAGAGGGCGCTCGCGCTTATTTTCAGGCTGCTGAGGCCTATTCACGTTTGCAGCATGGCCTGCACCGGATAGGCTGACATGAGATTGTCGTGCACAGCAGTCGCTCTTGCCAAGATTCGGCGCAGGGCAGATACTACCTTTGCATTCTGGATCAGATTCATCCTCTCGATCATGTTGAACTTCGTGTGCGATCCGGAAACCGATTCCTTGCGAACAGATACAGAGAGCGAGTTCGATATCTGGAGGCCCAAAGCATCGGGTCTTCTGCCGCCGCAAGACAACCTTCCTTACCTCGTCGAAGGCTCGACACTGTGTGCAAAACTACGGTTGGGGGTGTGGATGCCCTCCGCCTTGCAGAAGCCGCTGTAGGGGACGACGGAGAGCTTGGCAGCGTAGAAGTGGTCGCGATTTGTCCTGACAGGCAGTGCTTCACATGATCACGTGCGGAGCGTCGATGTTTCCAGCATCGTCCACGACGTTGCAGGACAGAGGAGGGTGTGCAGACAGGAGTAAAGCAACATGCTCGTGCCAAGCCGTGGTTCGTAGTGCATGGGATGGACACGCAAGCACTGCTGGAGGCAATCTTCTCGAATCCTTGCTGGGCAGCAAAAGGCTGCTGCAGATCTACAGGCGTGGCTGACGTAGTTAGGTCACGTTAAGGATGTTAAGGACTCACGGGACTTGTGCCATTTCATAAACACACTTGTTTGCCCAGCCACTTGTCTCACTCCACTTGGTCTTCAAGAATCAATCATACTCACTTGCCCCACCTGGAACATTATCCCAAGTGGGGCGAGTGGCACGCCCTCCACTGGGGTTTAAGTTTAGGGTTTAGGGTTTAGGGCTTAGGGCTTAGGGTTTAGCGTTTGGGTAGGGTCTGGGGCTTGGGTTCTTGGGTTTTGGAAGGGCTTAGGGTTTGGAAGGCTTAGGACTTAGGGTTTAGGGCAAGCGGGGGGATTCGGCAAGTAGGGTAAGTGAGGCATCGCAGCAAGTGGGGCTGTTGGGTCAAGTGAGGCAAGTGGCGGATATCGGTTTGTGACTGTGGTCCTAGAGGGCTAGAGGTGGGGCAAGTGGGGGCCATCTGTAGAAATCGCTTAGTGGTTCTAGTCTTCCCGGCGCACTGTGCCAGCTGGAAAGGGCCTCCCATCTGCCCCTCTGCCTCTGTTGGCCGCAGGCAGCAGCACTTGGAGGGAGCTCAACAGAGCGATGTGCCCGAGAATGCAGACAGATTGCGTTAGAGCAGCTGACTACAGGTTCACACACGTTCGTTCGCCCAAGAGGTTTTGTTTTCGGCACTGGAGTAGTGAGTAGTGGTTGTGCTCTGACACGGCAGACCAGCTAGGCAGAAAAGAGGAACTCATTTCATCAGTGCATGCCAGGTGCTGAGCCTCGACGATATGCTGCGTGATCTTGTCGGAAATATTCTGGAGCCAGGCATCAATCGCATGCAATTCCAAAGCATAGACGAGGATGAGATGCGGAGCGGGCTTGCGCAGACCTTCATGCGCTCGCACATCCTTTGTGTGACTGAGTCGCTATGCCATGTGCACACTGATACTGCCCTGGGCAAGGCCTGAAAGCCGCTGGTCATGGTCAAGATCTCGACGCGCAGGACCTGTCAAACAACGACGAGTGGATTCCGGCTGGGGAGGGGTTGAGGTTTGGGGCCAGGCAGCTTCCATGCCGTCCGGTTTGTTCCGAGGAAGCAACAGCAGATTGTCGAGGTCGTGCCATTTTGATGGTGTTCACGGCTTGGTTAGTCGGGGTGCAGCGCGAAAACACTGCTCCTTATGATGCTGCGCCCTAGTGAAGGGCACATCATGTTGGCATCCAATCTGACCTGAAGGATGTAATGCTTTCTCCAAGCCCGCTTGATGACTCCAGAATATGTTCAGGAGATGGATCTGCACTTCCTCCTTGTGCGCAAGCTAAAGGCAAGATGCTTCTGCCAGATTTGAGGACGCAAGCTCTGCATGGCGCTTGAATCAATGTCCAGTGACTGCCGCTGCGCTTGGTCTCAAGATCCAATGACTCTCACCTGGTAAAAGTGCTCGCGGATGGCCGAATCTGTTTCGGAGCATTTGTCTGACTGTAGCCAATAGCTTCTCTCTCGTAGTGTCGTGGTACGTAGCAGCACTGTAGCAGCTCACTGGGGCATCGGCTGAATTTGTCTGCGGCCTGAAATCTTCCGTCCTCGAGCGGCGCGATGTTTTTCAGGCTGTTTCCCATCTGGCCCCTGGCCGTAATCTTACTCGGCAATGCCGAGGAGGAGGACGGCAGTCTTCAGGCGCGCATTTCAAGCACCAGATGATCAGGGCAGCCACCAAGCCGCTAGCATAGACCCACAGACCTTTTCGCACTTTCGCACACGCGAGACTGCGCATCGCGAGGAAACCACCCCTGTCAACCATATACAGACCTGCAAACCATATCTTTCCTCCGGCCCTATGCTTGGGGCACTGCAACAGGCCACTTGCTGCCACAAGCACCTTTGCACCTTGAGCTAACTTCGTTGCTCCTCTCACTCAGCTCCGTTTCTTTGGCCGTCAGGTGCAATCTAATGCGAGCGTCCTTTCATTATTGCTAATGCAGCATGGTGACGACTAGCTTCGGCAAAAGGATGGCCTGCTTTGCCAGAATCCCTGATCCGCGAAGGATTGGAAGCGCAAAGCCACTCAAGGGAGTCATAAGGAAACGGCGCACTGCGCCACAAGCAGTGCGGTCCGCGATATTACACAACCTGCGCAGCGGTCGTTACAAGCCAAGCTGCGTCCGCGTCAGTCTCAGGCACCTCTTTAAGCTTTCGGCATCTAGGAGACACATGTGGAGGTATGGAAGGTGTTCATGCTCAAACTCGCTTGCTTGCTGCTCGCGAGACGGTACATGTGACATCGATCTTGCCCTGCCGACAAAACCCGGTTGCACAGGCTTCCCTTGCCTCTGACGACTGCGCTGGAGCAGAAGCTTTGTCGGCCCTGCAAACGCGAGGATTGCACACTCTGCTTTTGCAGTCCGCTTAAAGCCGTGGCTCTGGGGCCTCTAGGGCTGGGCCGGCCTTCTTGCATGTGCCACTCCGTCTGATTCAGGACGCACGCTGCAAAGTTCGGCGGATGATCCGTGGAAAGAGGCCTCGGGTCATGAATTCACATCTGACATTCTGATCGATGTCTCTGCTTTCGAGTGGTGAGCTGTTGTGTGGCAGGTAATGTCCTCTATCGTCCCTTTGATCCAAAGCTTGGTCTTCGAGGACGGCAAACTCGCGGTTGCCGAGGAGAACTGGCACATCTAGACGCTGAGCCCAGGCCCAGGCACGCTATCCGCCCTGCACTTGGAAGGAGATGCGGACAGCAATGGGAGGTGCATGCCTGCGAATAGAGGCCGTTCCTTGTGCAGAGAGAAGCCTTTGATGAGTTCAAGGAAAGGAATCCAAAGTTACACTGGCACCAGCAGGAATACCGGACCAGCGCTGTTCCGTTCTCGGACTTTTGGCAGTGCGGCTCTGACACGCACGACAACTTCGGCGATGCGGCCTACACACCCTCCGAGCAGCTGATGGAGAAGCTTGTAGATCTTTCTGGCGTGCAGCTGCCAACCTGGGCCCGACTACACCTGCACTCAGGCAGAGGGCCCAAGCTTCTCGGAATGCTTTTGGAACGCCTCAGCATGAGGCAACGAGAGTGATGCGCTCTATGGAAAGTGGTGCGGACTCTTGGCATGGGTTGCAGCGCTGTGAGGTGGTGCAATTGTTCTCGTGATCCCGAGCCCAAGAATTCAGAGACCCAGAGTTGCCGCCCAGGGATGCCTGCGCCTCCAGAGCACGAGGATGAGATGGGCCGTCCTGTAGGCGCACGGAAATTCTGGGAGGACAGGCGAAGGGTTTCAGCTGACATGAAGCTGCAAGGGAACTTGCAAGAACAGACAGTCCCGGACAATGACAGGATTTCTCACAATTCTTTCGGTCTTTGTTCACTTGTCTTGAGCCAAACCAAACTTGCTAAGACCGTTACGGAGCCATTGCAAAATGTCCGGGGCTGGTGTCGGCATTCCCAAGTCCAAGTCATATTGCAGGACTGTGTTATGCGAAATGCTGGATACTTCAACGCGCAGCTTGTCCAGCAAGCTCAGGTCTGTGTTCACGGTATGCCGAGGGTCAGTACCTGAGTTTCAGCCAGAGCTAGAATGGATTGCTGGTTTCGTTGCTGCGGTGGCCAGAGAACTTGCGCAGCGCATGAACAACGAACAATTTTCTGAAGCCTCACGGCTTTTCGACAGCGACGGGATAAGTCTGCCACTGGCGGAGCAGATTCGCAGTCCAAGCAAAGCGACGACTATAGATGTGCAGTCGAAAACTTCAAGTCAGCCTGCCAAGCTGCAGCCGCATGCCCATTTATGTCCAACCACCAGGAGGGACATGGAAAAACACTTCCAGATGATGCTCATGATGCTGGGTCCCTGGGCCCGCCAGGGCACAGCTGATGCTCATGATGCTCATCTTTGGCGTGGTCACCGGGATGGCGCGCAGTCCCTGCGGCCGAAATCATGCACCTGCCGCCGACAGCTTAAACCAGAGAGCCCAACCTCAAACCTTATCCCCGAACAACAACAGTAACAGCATTCGCGAACGGCGACACTGAAGTATGTTCGGCTTTTCCCGTGCTCATCGCCCCTTTCCAAGGCTCGTGTGTGCCCCTTGACCTGCAAAGAGCCCGAATGCCTGCAGGGCCTGCAGCCGTGGCATTTGCCTCTCCTGCGCTGTCGTTGATTGCAATTGAGTGTGCGTGGTGATTGGCTTTCCCGGAGACTCGATTTAGGACACCGATGGCGCCTACTCGGTCCTGGGCTTGGCAGCCCTGAACCACGGGGTGTGCTATCCTGCGCACAACCACGACAATCAGGACAAGAGGGCTTTTCGAAGGAAAGACTTTGGCTTGCCGCTTGCCGGTCTGAGTGTGCCCGAAGGAGGCGTACTGGCAATTGGGCGGTCCAGGGTGGTGGAAAACCTGGCCCAAGACCTTCCACAAGCAGCCCAACGAAAGGCGGGTTGACTTTGGACACCGTGTCTGCGACATCCTTTAACGTGCCAAAAAGCTCTAGTGCGAAGCTGCTTGTTCAAAGGGCAGAACACAGAGTTGTACCTGTTTTCTCTTAGATGCAACTTTTCAGCTTTTTCAGCAAAATGACTTAGTTGTAACTTTGTTTGGCTCCGAAAACAGCAAATCTCTGCAGAGGGTGCAAAACAGGCATCTTAGTTATAACCTTTATGTTGTCTTTAGCACCAAGCCACTAACAAGTTTTCTGGTGTATTATAGGTTTTCGCTGGATTCACTCCTTGGGGTTTGCGTCTTCGGGAAAAATTCCGGCTGGATTCACTCCTTAGGGTTTTCGCCTTGCATTTCACTCCTTAGGGTTTCGTCTTGGGTTCAAATTTCCTGGTGGATTCACTCCTTATGGTCTTCGTCTTCGGTCAAGGGTTCCTGCTGGATGCACTCCTTGGGTTTTTCGTCTTCGGGAAAAGGCTCCCGCTGGATTCACTCCTTAGGGTTTTCGTCTTGGGTTAAAGTTTCGTGTTCGATTCACTGAATTCACTCCTTAGAGTTTTCGTCTTCGGGGAAAGGTTCCTGCTGGATTCACTCCTTAGGGTTTCCGTCTTGGGTATTCACTCCTTGGCTGGATTCACCTTGGGTATTCACTCCTTAGGGTCTTTCCCCCTTGGGTATTCACTCCTCAGGGGTTTCGCACTGGGTATTCACTCCTTAGGGTTTTCGTCTTGGGTTAAAGTTTCTTGCTGGATTTATCCTCAGGGTTTTCGTCTTCGGTCAAGGGCGCCTGGTGGATTCACTCTTTAGGGTTTTCGTTTTCGGGAAAAGGCTCCCGCTGGATTCTCTCCTTAGGGTGGCTAAGTCTGGTAGCCGGGGCGGGTGGGGTAGTGGGGGTAGGCGGAGCAGGTGGGCCAGGTGGGGCACGTAGGGTAGGTGGGGTCAGCAGGAAAAAGAGAAAAGTTACATCTAAGAGAAAAAAGTTACATCTTAGAGAAAAAAGAGTTACAACTAAGCTTGCTACCGTTCAAAGCCCTCCCCCGAAAAGAGCTGTGATTCTTGCCAGGCCATACTCAGAGATTCGGATCACAAGCCCGTCTCCTGCACTGCAACTTCACAATCACCCAGGCCGGTGCTTTCGAAACCCGGTCGTCTCTGCAGCGACTCGCTCGTGACCCTGAGGTGGGGTAGTGCATGAAATGGACACAACCCACGATGACGACTATCTCCTGAGCCTTGCCGGAATGGCTCCTGTCCTGATGCTTCTTTGCGGTGCCTTCATGAACTGCTGCTTCTCTAAGGACGGTTTACTGGTGGGGCAAGCCTGCCAACCAAGCCGTAAACTATGCTTACAGCTTCGTGGCATCAATCAAGAAACAAGATGCTCGGACCCCGATCCACCCAAGACTTGCCGAGTGTCCGAGGCCATAACGTGCAAGAGCAGGGGTCCTGCTTCCGCACTTACAGAAGCTCGGCAGCACACGCTTCGCACCAACAGCGTCTGTCCTCCCATGTTCATGGAGCTGAGGAAATGAGCATGCCGATGTGCAGCACAGCTGCCCCAATCCGTACAGACCACCTTGGGCAGCTCCCATCTTGGGACCTCGCCCTGTGAGCGTCTCGGGCGCTTGATTGCCCAGATGAAAAAAGACCGGTCTTCGATGAATTTCGGGTCCTTGCTCCGGGGCAGTTGCGCGCGATTCCAGAGTCCCAGCGACGTCCTTGCAAGACTGCATCTTCCTTTGTGTCGCAGAATGCCTACTTGCGCAACGTCAAGAACCCGAAAGTCGTCCGGCGCTCAAATTCTCAAGACCCCAGTGCCCAGCTTCGCACGGTTTTCTGGAACTGAGAGCAAGCAGCGCTTCCGTGCCTTTGACAGCACCACCTGTGGAAACTGCGATGCTAAGGATGTGCGCATCACGAAGCGAGCTCAGGCCAACCCCAAATCCACAAAACTTCGATGCTACTGTAGCATGATCTACGTTATTCTGCCACACCTGAATGCAGTCTGCACTGGTCAGGACGACTTTGCAAGCAAAGTCGTAGAGGTGGACCCGGAGGAGGACCCGGCCCTGAAGAACTCAAGCAAGCTCTGTTCGTTTCGGATTCAAAGGCTGCATGTGGGAACGCGTTGCCTGGAGGAGCCCCCGGAGTTGCCAGAGCACATCAGCAGCAAGCTGCTGTGCCCTTCAACTTCGCCCCACTTTCCTGAGGCTCTCCATAGCCTTTTCCCACGGCGCCGCAGGTACTATCTGCAGTCTGCCCGGCAGCTGACCAAGAACTCCCTGGAGCCCACCGGGTCAGATTTCCTTTTTTGGCGACAGGGGTTGTTGAAATGGCTCTGTAGCATGTTGGATCTTGGACTTGCAAGCCTAGTCGTGGGACTGTGGGAGACTGCACAAACCCGCCGATCAAGCCGTTCCAGAAAAGCAGCACGCTGGCCTTGTCACTCAGTCTCTGCTTCCTTCCCTAAGAGAATATAAGCAATCATCCCCGCAAAAGCATCTATGTGTTCCAGGAGCAGCTGCCTCACAATACCGAGGCTGGCACAGCAATCGCACAGCCATTCCTTCGCGAGGTTGAGCATGACATGCACGTTGTGTATTTTGTGGAAGAATTCAAAGCTCAGCTGAGAGCCGTGTTAGAGGGGAGCGCGAGGCTGCCAGCTTTTGGAAGCCCTGCGGGGACCTTCTCGGCGCCTGCGTCTGCACCGGCCTCGCGCGCTCCGCGGCGGCAAGGAGACAGCAGCATGTAGGTGCTACTGTACTCGCTACTCTCTCAGGTTTGGCTGTGCAGGGCCGGGGCCCGAAGATATTGTGGAGCTGCAGAACGAGAGGGCCAGTGATACACCCAATGTCTGCATCAAAGGTGCCTCCTCGGCCATAGCGTGAAGCTAAGGTCTGTCCAAGTTATGTCAAGTTCTGCAGCATGCACCAGTGGCTGATCACAAAAGTAACGACAGTGCTTGCTGATGGAGAGAGACCAGTTGCAGATTGCAACTGCCACAGAGTGCTGGATATTTTGCTAGATGCATAGTTTATGGCTTTGTGGCCAAGGCTTTCACTCCTTCCATTGCCGTGTCCGACGTGATCTTCTGCCACAACTCCAGCTTCCCACAGGCAGAGGGGATTCGCCCACTCCAAGTAAGCTCTGCGCTGAGCACCGACGTACACACAGCATGCCAGGCTGTGTTGGAAGATGGTGCGCGACACTTTCCTGCAGAAGCGCCCTGCTTATGCGGCTGTACGCCTAAACGGTCGAGTTTGTCTCAGGAAGATTGCAGGACAGCGACAGGCCCGCGTGCTTGAGATGGTTTCTGAAATTCAGCTTCGTCGTGAAGGCACTCCAGATTTCATTTGGAGACCCTGCTGTAAAGTCTTCCCTTAATCCATCGGTCCCCATTTCCCGGGACACACTTGAAACGATCCTTTGCCGCAGCTGGTGTGAGTGCCTTTCGCTGGATGCGACTGGCCCTTCTGACGTCCGCCGGGATCATAGCTGCAATGACATGTGTTACGTGGGCAGAGTAAACGGGAGAACAGGTTCCCTCTGGTCACAAAAACGTCAAAAAGTTCATCGCCAAGGCACTCACTTAGCGCTGCTGCACCGGGAGTTTGCGGACGTCTTTTGTGAGGCCTGGCTTCGTTGCTGCCTAGTATCCAGTAGAATATGCGCCGCCTGGGAGTGGTTCCGTGGGGCCTCCGATAATGACGGTCCTTAATCCGAGCAGCAGGAGACAGGTGCTACTGTCCTTTGTGCAGTTGACTGGAGCAGTTTCCCTCTTGCCAGGGCAGCGGCGGCTGCAGCGAGGCCGGGTTCGTGGTGACAGAACTGCTTCTTCTGTCGACTCAGGAACACAAATGTGGGGCTCCGCGATGTCAAGCACCAGGGAAGTGCCGTAGCAGTCTTGAACTCAATCTGCCTGAGGCCCGGGTGTCGCTACCCTTGGCCCCGGCGCCCCCTGTTGACATGCGGTCGCCTTTCAAGGCCATGTTGGGGCTACAACGCGTCGGAGAGCCGAAGTGCATTCCATCTTTCTGTCGGACTCGCTCGGCCTCAAGTCCTCAAGAATGCACATCTTCCGATCTTCTTCCTGGCGCCGTCTCAGACACTCACGGAACTAAACGCTTCAGAACATCCAGTACTCAATGGCATCTGCTCGTCTACCTCTTGCCCGATCATAGCCTAGGTTCGAATCGAAGTCGAGTCTAAACAGTTCAAACGGAGTTGCACACTGGAGGGGGACCCAGTCTGTGGAGCGACGCGCGTGACATGATTCGTGAAGCTTCACAATGTTGTGAAGGAACCTGGACGAGCCCGTGGTCGTCTGTCCAACTTCTTGCCAGCTCCCTTTGCCAGGCCACCGACGCAGTCGCCGAGAGCCCCAAGTCAAAGTTGACGATCAAGTCCGAGCCTCAGCACTCGGCCAAGCACGTCAGCTATCTGCATCAAAAGTGAATGTCACATCACGCTGATTCGTGAGCGTGACACAGTTGTTCCTGTTGCGATGAGGTGGTTCATCATTGGAATCTCCAGCGCACTCGGCATCATCTTTCTTTCCTTTGTTTCGTACCGGCTCCGCTACCATGGTGCAATCCATGGCTAGGGCTTCCCAATCCCAAAGCCCTGTCAGGTAGCAAAGTTGTTTAAAGGGGCTTGCAGCAAAGCTGACAAACTCTTGGATCCGGGAGAGATTGGGGCTAACCACCCCGCCGATGCCAAGATTTGCCGGGTCTCTCTGTCTCTCACCCAGAAAGTCGTGGCATCCACAAGGCAGAACCAGAAAAGGACCGGTGTCTCTTGCATCTCGATCACAGCCTCTCTCGAAGTGTAGTCTCCGTACCTCAGCCGGGCTCAATTCTGCTGCTTGCTCTTCAGGTCCAGGCCGAAAATAAAACTAGTCCCATGAACCTACGAGCGTCCCGAGAGATCCGCGGAGACCCCCCGCCTTGTCAAGCCTACCGAGTGGGCCACTTCTGGCAGGAGCTCTTCAGCGCAGGAAGTATGGTTGTTCCTAGCCTTTACTTGATCATGGCTGTGGACTTTGCGAAACAGCTGCCGCTCAAAATGTTGACCGTTGCCACTGTTGTGCACTGCCTTGCTTCAGCAAGTTACCACTGCCAGTGCGCATATTACACCACTGACCCACGCTGGGATCACTTGAAGAGCCCCTTTCGCACAGCGGACATGTGTTTGATTCATGTTTGTATGTTTACCTACTGCTACGCAGTGTCGCCTGGATTGTGGTATTTACCGGCGCTAGCCTTTGCTACAAACGGCTTCTGCATGTTGCTGCTTCTGTACCGGCGGCTTCATTCAATCCCGGGAAGCAAAGCCGACTCCTACCGCGTTATTGCATGCATCCTGCTTTACACTTCGGCGATGCTTTGGAGAGGAGATTTCTCAAGCTATGCCGGTGTCATGGCTTCGTATGGGTTGGGAGGATACTTCTGGACGAGGAACGAGAAGCTTGGCCACTGGGGCCACGGGCTGTTTCATTTGATGCTGGTGCCCTGCACCTACTGCGTGGTTCGAAGTGCAACCTTCCAGGTCGAGTAGACGGCTGCCGAGCTGCTGCTCTCTACTTATCCTCTAGCTGTGCCGTCGTTATCTCTGGGTTTGTCCTCCCATGGCAGCATGGCGATGACTCACGAAGATCATGTCTCCAGACCGGGGCTCGAGATTCGGACTGCCTAGGACCGGGTCGCTCGGTTTCCGGCTGTTCGTCTCCACCGGACCACCGGACCCCAGCAATCCCGCAGACTCCGGAGCAAACTAGAAATGACGACTGGAAGTGCATGGCTCATGCGTGGTATCAGGCGGGAGGTGACTCTCGTGCCATGGACGTGTCCCAGAAAGCAACAGACGGACCCACTGCCTGCGCCGGAAAATCAAAGTGCCTCTGGGCCCAGTTTGTCCTTGTTGAGAGTGAATCTCTTTTGCCATCCCGGTGAGCGGTTCTGGTCATTGAGGGCGTTTCTGTGCCGAGGAACTGCACTTTCGCCCAGAAAGCTCAGCGGGCACAAGCTGCAGGAGTCAAGCGCATGCTCACTAGTCGTATCTTCTGCAGGTAAACTACCCAGGTCCATGCATCCGACGATGCATGCTTCCGACCGAGTCAAGCAGCATCCTCTCAAGAAATACTTCTACCCACAGTGTTTCAGTGACATCTGCAGAGAGAACACTGGCTTTCTTGCCTTTGATTTCGGCCTGGCACCCTCCTCATCCTCTTTGCAGGAGCAAAGCTGCTGATTGTGACCATGCGAACCTCAGCAATGACTATGGGCCTCAGCGCAGGGCACCGTGCTTGCAGCAAGTGGGTGCATGGTTTCTTTGCAGATTCGGGACGAAGAAGGTTCTCATCAGTGTGTAGGTGAGCCAGTTGCAACGATGTTTTATGTGTGCATGCCACGGCCTGACGTAGTTGTAACTCAGAATCACGCTGATCCTCTTTGTATTTGAGGCTCGGGGGGAAGGAACCCAGCATTCCGGCGCTGGGCATCTCCAAAGCGGCCGGGCGACAGGCATCGAAGAGGGCCTTGAAGCGGTTGCATGGTACCACATCCTGACACAGCCCGCGCTTTCTCGTGTGAGAGAGCCAAGCAAGTCTCCGTCGTCTCCGTGTCTTGCAGTCCACTTCCACGACTCTGCTCCCACTGAAGGTTAGCTTGGCGATGCAGAAAGAAAAGAAGCTCACGGCTTCTTGCTGGAAGAGGCGTTGGTTGCAGCCAGAAACGAAGAGCAAACTCCATCAGCTTTGCCTGACGCAGGAAAGGCAGCATGTTTGGGGATCTCCTGAGCGAGGCCGGGCGCAAAACTTGCCAAAAGTCCTCCCAGACGGCTTTGAAGAAGGCCTTCACCGGAGTCCTGGCCGTTGCTTTGGTGGCTGCTGGGGCTTGGTATGGCGTCGAGGACCCGATGCTGCTTCCAGATCATCTTGGTCCTGAGGGTCTTTGCAGCAAGAGAACGAGGCACCTTGAAATCAGACGGAGCACCAATACAGGTCACACCAAGGGAAGGACAGACGAGGGAGACGAGAAGAAAACCACCCAGGCATTTTGGAAAGACATGCTCTGCATGAGATTGCCTGTACCTTTGTGCAGGGAGAAAGATGTACTTCCGATTTACACACATATGCATGTATAGGCATGTATGTACAACCAGATTAGTACATTTACATACTTATTATGTTATGCTAACTCACTTGCACCTGTGCAGGCCCACACATGCACAAGCATACGCATGTACCTCTACACCTGCGAGTGCATGTATGCCAGTATGTCTGTGCGTGTGTACTCGTACGTACGTATACCCGTATGTATGTATGTATGTATGTATGTATGCATGTATGTACGTATGTATGTGCGTATGCATGCATGCGTGCATGCATGCTCGCCTCCTCTCTCACAGCAGGACTTGCGGAGGCCTTCAAGCTCTGCTGCAGAGGCTGGTTATCGATGGCCACGAGTCGCGATCCGACGCCAGACCCACCTCTTTGTTCGAACGTGCTGATTGCATGGAATGACTTGCTGTCGGCCACATGCTCTCACGCATGCAGGATGCGCAGCGGCAGAGCGAAGTGGTCGCAGTCGAGGCATGTCGCATTGGCGTCGGGTCGGTGCCTTCGGGCGGAACAAGCAGACATGCATCGACATCCGCTGAGAGCAGGTAGACAAGCCAAGCCAGCTAAGCTCTGTGCGGGAATCATCGAATTCCATTCAGCTTGCAAGGAGTCCTCGGGGCTTCACTTCGTTCTGTTCGGCTCGCTGCTCCTGACAATCCTTTACTTCTTCATGAAGTGCCTTTGCTGTCAGTGACCAAGCAAACATCAGTGCAGCCTATGCAGTGAGGTACCTGATCTATCTTCTGCTGTTCCTCTTCGCCTCAGGGGCAGTGCCCGCTTCTTAGGACGGCAAAGAAGGCGCTTGAAACTCAGGTTGCTTACTAGGCTTATGCCTGAAGCTCAGGTCCACAACCTGCGTGTTGCTCGAGCCGGCCTTCGCATCTTGCTTCCCAGCACTGCGAGCAAAGAAGGCGGAACTTCGGCACACATGGCACGGAGCCATGCCATTCAGAATCTGTCTCCTTTTCACCGTTTGTCAATGCAGCTGAAGCCGGATGTCAGCATGGGGAATCCCTCGGCCTTCCCGACGCATCCTCTGGCTTCGTCGAAAAGGTCGTTGGATTCACTTCACTGCATTACGGTCATGGGTCAACTTGAGCCCAACCTACGCCTCTTTGCCGCGTGATGCTGTGCTCAGATGTGTGCATCGGCTCGGTTTTCGCCTCGGCAGCGGCGGCAGTTTCAAGCGCTCGGCATTCGTTCTCGATTCACTCGCTGTCTTCCTCTCACTTTTGCCCGACTCAGATGCTTGTAGTCGAAAGGATTTGCCCATTTTGCATTGACAGCTGATTGGGAGCTGCCTTTGCATCTTGAAGATCTTCATCTCGGTGCCAGTGCTTGACATTCTTTGGGGGCCCGTGTTTGTCTTCTTCATCAAGCAAGGTGTACATCCAAGACCGGCCGTACTAAAGCAACCAACCAGACCCACCTTGGATTTGCGGTCCAGTAAATATAACATACTGTTGATGATATAAATCCTGCATTACCTTAAGGACCCTAAACTATGGGAATCATGGTATATTCCTTATTATGGGTAATCGGTCCAGTAAACATACCCCTATTTGTTCACTGCACTACTGCACGTTGCTGCTGCCGGCCTGTGCAGGCTTGCACACTGCCGGACGTGGTCGTTAATGTGCTGGGGGTCGAGAAGGACTTGGGCAAGTCGGCGAAGACTGAAGTATGCCCTTCAAAGCTCCAGGAGCAAACCTGGACGGAGGTTTTGTCCGAACTGGTTGGTGTAGTTCTTCTCTCAGCTTGGCGAAGACTGCAGGGCGCTTTCTTGGCTGCAGCTCCAAACCAGGCGCTTGCAGTCTGTTTCTTGATCTTCCGGAACAATGACGACATCGGCGGTACCCTCAAGCGACCGAGCAGCTGACACCTCTGCCTCGTGGCCGTGCTTAGGTTGGGCTCTGCAGGACATCATCGCCATCATGTTTCTGCTTACCCTGCAACGCACAGTGCGGCTACCGAACCTGAAGGTGTGCCGCAGTGTGATATCATGAGTCTTGCGGGCATCGGAGCTGCAGAGCCGTGCTACGACGACAGTCGGAATGCTTTCCTTCTGTCAGGTAGGGACGCTGCTGCTGATCTGCACGTTCTTCTTCGATATCTTCTGGGTGTTTATCTCACCTGTGATCTTTAAGAAGTCCGTGATGATCGAGGCAGATCTCCCCGTTTCAGCATCTCTGTGCTGCTTGGCCACAGCGAAGATGAACCCGAAGAGGTGGCCACCGGAGGAGGTACCGGGCAGAGTGTGCCCGGGGCCCTGGGGCCTGGGGAGTCTGCGGCCTCACGACCTCCGCCAGACGTTTTCTTGTAGGCCCATGGTTCTGAAGATCCCTGCGCTCGACGGCGAGCTGCCGGGGCAGTTCAAGGCGAAGGGGCTTTTGGGTAGCGACGAGTGGCTGCGAGTGTCTGTTGGAAGATCCTGGGCCTCGGTGACATTGCCATTCCCGGGCTCCTGATCTCACTGCTGCTGCCAGTGAACCCAGATCTTTGCCGGTTCTCTGCATCGTGTTCTTGTGGTGCTGTGCACTAAGCTCAAGTGACCCCCACCCAAAATCCAAGTCGGCACGACTTGGTGAAACGCCATCGGCGATGTGCGGGGTGCGCCGGGGCAAGATCAGTTAAACTCATTTAGAAGCTTCAAGCCGCAGATGGTCGACGCTGCCATCTGCACGACAAGCCTTGGTCCGAGGTACTTTCTGGCTGGCGTTATCGGCTATGGCGTCGGTTTGCTAGCGACCTTTGTGCCGGCAACTCAGTTTCAGCAGAATCGACGGGCTGGCACAGCGGGCGCGCAGCAGTCTTCGAGGTCGTTGTACTTGATGCAGCACGGCCAGCCGGCCCTCCTTTTTCTGGTTCCCGGCACGCTTGCTCCCGGCTTAGTGACGCAACAGCTCGGATCTAGAGCTTGGCTGGCTTGGCTGTTGCCTGTCACGACGTGCGATTCCAGAGACTGCAGTCCGTTTCCCGATGATCGTTCTCGCACCCCCACCGAGATTCCCACCTGCTTCATTGCGCTGCGGAAGGCTTGGCTTCCAGATGAGTCTCCCTTTGTAAAGAGCCCACAAGCCGCTTTCAGGGCGAGCTGAAGGACCTTTGGGCGGCTAACTACGGCCCTGAGCCCCTGGAAGGCAAGTGGTAGTCGGGCTCCGACGGTTGCGTTCCCTGCAGCACAATGTCATCGCCAGGTGACGTGGAGAAGCAATCTTGAAGAGGCCTGTCCTGCACACAGTGCGCCGTGCGCCCAACCGTAACTAGGCAACGGTACTCGACTGCTGAAATCTCGTGAGGGTTCGAGAATGGGGCTGTCTGATGCCCCTGAGTGATGCTGTCCAGACCATCTTTCCGGTGGGAAGAGTGCATATTAGGCATTGAAGCGCCAGGCTGCGCGGCCTGTAATAATGCCTTCGGCCCAGTTTGAAGCCCGACAGTGGGGTTGGGAGAGGAGGCTTTGCCTTGGGCCCAGGTGTATATCCACCCTGAACGGAGATGCAGAATGACATATTGTCATATGTGCAAGAAGATGCCTGCGTCTTTGCTCATGCTGTAGGCTGGATGTTGATTGAGAGCGTGACAAGCAGGAGTCAGGAATCTTGCTTAAACCTGAGTTTCGGAAGCTTTGAAGATGTCATCTTGACGTGGCTCGGGCGAAGGTTGCAACAGACACAGTACCAGCCGTGCAAAGAGCGCGTGCTGATCATCTTAAACAAAGGGCAGAGCAGCTATGATGTGTAAATAGTAGTATCTGTTGACCTCCGCCCTTGCAGTGCTTCGCAAGCACAGGGAGCTCAAATGGTTTCATTGAAATCAGCCGTGATTGCACATGTACCTAATATTGTGCGGCTTTGGGCTCCTAGATCTTGGGAGGCAGACACGGCCACTGTTCTCCAAGCTGGCTGTATGGCCGCCTCACGCTTTTAAGCGCCAACGCAACTGCAAGATGGACACCCAAAGTGCCCTAACGACGTCTGAGCAGGAGGTCAGGGAGGGACAACGCGTGTGCCGGAGTTGTTCACATGTCCGCATTTTGGAGTCGATCATGGCTTTAGCTTGTGCATCGGGATGGGAGCTCCCAAGCGACGAAAGCCTGCGAGTGTTGGGGCAGGATGATTCAGGCTTTGGTAGTCCATGTGCAGGTTGCGACACTGCTCCTCGGCTAGTCGCCAACGGTGCGTCAGATGCCCATCAGCAGACACCCCGTCCAATGTCTCGGCTGGGATATTTCCCGGCCGGTTTTGGCCAGGCAGGCTCGGGCAAAAAAAGGTGTTGCGAACTGCAATCCAATTTTTGCTTTCGCTCCGTTGTTCTAGACACTACGGATGCCACCTGGGAAATCTGGTTGTGATCTTGCCGCGTGGTCCACCTTGGCCGGAGACCCAAGCCTCCCGATGACTTTCCCGTCTTCAACCGCCGCATCAGCTTGCATTGTTTGGCTTCGACGATCTATGAGTTTCACAGAGACTGCGAACATTCAGCAACTAGACGGATCCCATGTGAATATGACAGATCGGACTAAGACTGGGCTTTGTAGGCTGCTCCCTATCAATGCCAGTCTCATCAGCCAAGACTCAGAGTCAGGGGCGGCCGGTGTTCCCGGTCCAACAGTGAACAGCTGCTCGCACCGTCCATGCATAGAAAATGCCCACTTCTGCCTGACCCTCGCTATGGTGGAAACGGAGCTGCGAAATTCCTTGCCGGGGCAGAGTGGCCTGGCGTTAACTCGGCTTTGAAGGCACATCCCGCCTGCACCGTCCCTCTTCACCGCTTCGAAGCCCAAAGACGAGAAACCGAGGCTTGCTGGTGCCATGCGACCGGCAGCTGAAGATGAGTACACAAGGTCTGTGTGTTTCCTCAACGGCAGCGTCCCGAGGGGGCTACCTGAGCTCTTGGACAAAACGCGTGGGAAGCCTGAGGTAGGACAGCCACGTGTGACTTTTTTACGCGTGCCTGTTGGCTTGCGGCCCCAGGTCTGCGATGTCAAGGGCCAGGGAAATACTCAGGACAATTCGGGAGGTGGGGGTCGTCAAGCGCTTCGTGACAGTGCATCCAGCTAGGAGATGTCTTTGGACGGCACGTCGAAGTTTGAGAAGCTGCTGGACAAGTCCGCAGAAGGCCCCTCCAGCACCGTGACTTACATCTGATCAGTACTGCTAGTGAGCTGATCGAAGTTGATTCTGAGATGTCTTGTCATCGAGCCGCACACATAAGCCGCAGCTTTTCGAAAACTGAGGTCTCCAAGGGCGCCATGCCAAATTGGAGCAGCTGGAGCAGTCGCTCGCAGCAACATCAAAGCTGCTTCCGCTGCTTGACCTGTCACGAGTTGGCCGCCGTTGATTCAGGGGGCATGCAATGACATACAGGCCGCGCGGGCACCGGCAACGTGTCACAACAGTTGAATGTTGAAGTTTCGTGATAGCATTCGCACGTGTGCCTGTGTCGCAAGCTCCCTTGGAGAGGCTCAACTGTACCTTGACCCACCCACGCCAAGGAACGTTCTTGAAGATGGTGCTGATGCTGGGCCGCAAGGGACAAGCACCTCTATTCATCGGACCAGAGCATGACGACAAAAACACTTCATGTCATGCTTAGCCGGGCAAGCGGATTGAAGTCCTGTGTGATCTTCTGTCCGGGTGTTGCTTTCCACTCCTTCAAGACCAGATTCTGGACGATGAACCTGCCGGGATGATGGAGGGGGGATGGGACCAAGTGCTGAGGAGAAGCCTGATCCGGCTACGCTTCAGAAGACAGTGAACCGCAGCTGCATTGGTGGACGATGTTCAACCCGGACAGCACCAGAAGCCTCAGATGGACGATGACACTTTCTCCTGCCGTGGCTTTCAGCTAATTAATCTGCAAGCGCGTCTCTTCTGCTCCACTTAGGAAGCTTCCTTCGTCGACGCGATCCCCTCCAGGCACTTTGAAGGAGGCCAAAGCTTGCGAAAGCCTGTGATGAATGAGATGGGAGAGGATTTTGTTGCTCGTGACGGAAAGGCCTTGTCGGTCCTGAAAGAAGCAGCTGGCATATCCGGCGTTCAGCTCACAGAGGCACCGGTGGCTTGGTGGCCAATCTAGGAGGACGTGGCGGAGGAGTGAATCATCGCGATCGCTGATGCATTTTTGGTCCGTTCCTCCAAGATGTACAGGTGCCTGACCTCAAGGGCGCCGACGAGACAAAGACTCTGAAGGGCATTGCCGGCGAGGCAGAGCCCTCTTCGCAAAAGGTGCCCTGCACTTGCTGCAGAACTGCTGCAGCTGCAAACGGACAGTGGGCCTAAAAGGATGTAGCAGCTCGATTGCACGCAAAGCATGATGGACATTCCATGCACACTTGTGGCGAGGCAGTGAACCAAGACGATGACCTAGACAGCTCTCTGATGGAAGCATCGAAGGCAGGCAACCCACCTGGACCTCACCTCCTGGCCGCGACGGACCATGACTGAGGTAGAGGAACCCTCCACTTCCTTTCAAGCTTCCGGGAACCTTCCGGATGACCGGCACCCAGTCAAGCCGCTTTCCTTTTGGGGGAGGTGCCCAGAAGCCCAGAAGCCCAGAAGAATCCAGTGGATCGAGGCGGAGGTGGCGGAGCTACGGGCTTTGCTGGAAACCGCACCTTGCACGCATCGGGGAGAGGTGCTTGTGGGCTTACAGCCGCGTGCGGACTGCCAAGGCAATCCAGGAGTCTGGCAGCGAGGTGCGGCACGAGCATGTGCAGTGCATCACGTGACAAAACGAACTTGAGCCGCTCAAGAGGCTCAATAGGGTGGCGATCGTTTGGCCGTTGATGGGTAGGTTGCTTTGGACGACGACCGCACTGTCAAGTTCGAGGACGGCGCAATGTTGCGGGGCAGAGAGAAGTCGTTGAGCCTTTCCCACGTCTGTATAACGGGCAGAGGTACCGGCAGTTCAGTTGTCTCCACATCAGACATGGGTAGTTCTCTACATTTGGGTCCCTTTGTGGTATTGTAGGTCCCCAAAAGAGTACGACCCTGGGGAGCGTTTAGAGAACTTCCCACATGCGCCTGAGATGATGTGCTCGCAGCAGCGATGGTGCAAGCATGAAGAGCATGAGGGAGAAGGCGACACTGCCGAAAGAACAGCAAGCGGAAGCAACAGCATCAGTGAGACCTTGAACAGGTTGCACATGTCCCAATTTACTTATACTTCGCATCAGAGAGGATGGTCGTGGCCGCGTCGCTGCTCATAAGTTTGGCGAGTGGCCCATGCACGCTTGACAGAGCGCGTGTGCGAACTTGGGATCGCTTTGGTGCTCTTGCCCGGACGTGACGAGGGACCCTGGGCTTTTGCGGCCGTTGAGACCAAGCTTGGATTTCTGAACCGATTTCTGGATCGGGCCGCCAGCGGCACGTTGCCAAAGTGCTCGCGGTGCGTGCTTCGGGTGGACCAGGTTCCAGCTGAGCGCGTGATCGTGATGGCCAAGGCCGGTGGAGACTTGGATGTGACGCAGCTGATGACTGCCCGGGAGGTGATGGACCATGTGCTGGCATGTGCAGCTGTTCATCTCTCATGGCTGGAGGCTCTGCCACAGGCTTATCTATTCAATGTCGAAGATGGGGCGCACACGGATGCAAATGCCATCGACGAGCTCTTGGCCACCCAGATTCCGCTTGAAGTTGAGAATCAAGAGGTGGAGGTAGGCCTTCTGCCCGTGGCTTTGGATGGCGCCGGGCCACAGAATGCCTTGGAGTCTGCACTGGCTCGCTTCCCAGTGGTAACTTCCGAGGAGCGGGAGGCGCCTTCTGGCAGTTTTGTCGATGTTGTTCTTTCGCTGTGTGGAGAGTCCGATAGTCCGCTAAAGTCTACTCAGCGCTTCTGCCAGGCCAAGGCGTACAAGGTGGTGCTGTGCCACTACTTCGAGTCGGGCTGGTGCAGAAATGGGGACAGATGCACGTACGCCCATGGGCCAGAGGAGCTCCGACTGCCATCAAAGGCAGAGGCCAGGATCGGGTTGTGTTGAGGACTGCTTGTTGGACTGATTGCCTCCTTGTGTGCTGACACATCTTTCAGATACCGTAGGGGGTCGGGTTGCAGCACCGCCCCTGAATCGCCGTAAGACAGTAAGACCCCAACTCCAACCCCGTTTGATACAGGCCAGACAGGAACCGTGCACGTACTGGCGGGTGAGTGGCCGCTGCAGCAACGGCAGCTGCTGCCCGTTTGCGCACGAGGTTCGGTTCCGCATGTCCAAGGTTATGACAAAGCAGAGTCGAGCATCTTCCGGTGATGAAGTGCTTTTCCGCTTGTGGAGGCTCCAGGTGTTTGGCCGGAGGAAGAATGGTCGTGATGCAAGCAGTTCGAAGTGCAGGTGCAGGCGGGCCCGGGGGCATTGAAACTTCAGACAACAAGCAGAAGCCCGCTGCGAGCGGTAGGGCTGCTGAGCTGCAGCGACAACCGAGGGGACCCGCATTTCTTTTAAAGATCTCTGATTGCGATTGCTTTGTGCAGGCGCCTTTGCAGGGCCTTCTCTTCGCACGCACAGCTTGCACCGCAAGCTGATCCGCTGAAGCGACCGCAAGTGCGGGCCGTCCGCAGTTGTGCACAACAAGTTCTGAGTGTGGGATCTAAAGTACAGAGAAACACTTCGGTGCACTTGGCACCACGAAGAAAAGCCAGGTTAGGAGGTATTGGAGGACAGATTCCTTCTTGCCGTCGCTGGCAGCCATCTCTTGCATGCTAGCCTTGCAGACTGACCAGCATGCAATGGCTTGGACCAGCTCACCGCTAGGAGGTGCGTAAGATTGGCCTGTCTCCGGAATTTCCTTGCGTTGTGTACAGCTACGTTTGGGCTGACCATTCCGGGGAAATGGTGCAAAATCGAACGTGCTGTCGCCAGTTTGACAGTGACGTGAGGTGGTTGTCCAGCAGCATTAGGTCGCTGCTAAAAACACTTCGACTTGCTACTTTGCTGAGTATGGAGGCTCCGGCGAAGAATGTCGGCGTCTGGGCCTCAATTCTGCTGCCACGGCGTGTCCGAAATTCCTCGTGAAAGCAGAGGGCCCGTACGTCACTAGCCGCTAGTGCTTCGTGCTAGTGAAGCAGCTTTTGCGACCAAGATCTCCGGCCCCTGCCCGGCAGAGGCTGGGACCTCGGCACAGCCAGAGCTTAGCGAAGCTGAAACCCTGTTTTTGTGGAGGTGACTCCAAGACAGTGGCGCGCTGAGCTGCGATGGATTACGACGGGATGGGGTCGAGCGTAGGTCCGGGCCGTTTCAGCTGTCTACGGTTCCGCTTGTCGTGCTTGGATGCAACAAGTGGTGCAAGACAGCTGCTGGTTGCATCGAAGCTATGCATGCCTCACACTGACTCGACTTCTAGATGAGCTTCTGACGGCGAACTCTTCTGGCCGCATTATTGAGACCCCGTGTGTCGACAAACAGCCAGTCGCGAGCCAGGCTGCAGTGGCATGAGCCCTGAAGGTCGTGGGGACGGTGAGACGCTTCAAAGGGGGAACAACACAAGCTGGAGCGTTAAACCTGCAAACAAGAAGCTGCAAACAAAGCAGCCCCTTTCCCAGCCATCTGGGGCGGCCGGGTCTGTCGTGACGCCGCAGCTTAAAGGTTGGGGCGGGGGTTTGACGCCTCTGAGTGCCTGGGCCGTCATAGGAACTCCTTGCTCTTGGAGCTTCCTGTGAACCATTTCAGGCTGATGCGCGGGATGCTGCCTGCAGCACTTGCAGAGGTCCTTGGTCGCACAGTGGCTCGTAGGTGAAATCAGTGCAATGAAGGAGCAGTTATTTGCCGGTTCACGAGACAGTGGTTTTGCTTTGCCTCGACTGGCCTTTGTTTTTGTTTGAAACCTCGGTCTTTTTCCTAATCCCGATTGTTCCAGGAAAAAGACTGTCGAGGCCAAAACGAAACCGAGGTCAACAGGGAGACGGTCGAGTTTAGACAAGAAACGAAGTTCAAGCAACTAAATCTAAAGCTTGCCCATGTTTTTTTTTGCTTTTGATTGTGCATGACCGGAACAGTCCACAGAATTCCTTTCCGTTTACAATGAACAGTCCGTGACAGACATGCGAGCTGCCGGCGTCGTCAGGATCTTTACGACTCCTCCCGATCGCAGAATTCGCAGAGTGCCGGGCCGCCAGGAGCTCAAACTATTCGTAGAAGCCCAAACCCTAAGCCCTAAACCCCTAAACCCCAGATGATCTTGGGGGTTGAACACTCGACCTGGGAATCTGGCTGTGGCTGCCCGACGGAGCAAAGTCTGCAACACCTAACTCTCCCCCAAATGCTGTTTCCTTGTGTTTGCCACGCAGCCCACTTCCTGAATTTGGTGTTGACGAGGTGCCGCAGTCATTCTGCTTTGTCTTGCGCATCGTGGATGGTCGACGCCTTATCTTTCGAAGCTTGCTGTAATGAGTAGCTTTTGAGACCTCTACTTGCGGGATTCCAATTTGCAATTTGCACAGCAGAAGAGGGCAAGTTGTTAGCTTCAACTCGGCACCAGGCTTCTTCTGTGGGCGACAGCCTCGAATTCAGCCGGTCCTCCGTAGGTCTGAAGCTCAGTGGTCGCGAGATCTCGAAGCTTGCACAGGGTCGGCGTCAAACAACATGTCAGGCTATGCAGTCTGCGAAGAAGGAAAGCTGCAGGAGGCATGGATGTAGCCAAGTCGCAGATGAGGTTGCTGCCACCAGTGCATGGAGGGCAGTGGCCATGGTGCAGCTGAACTCACGGGTTGGGCCGCCTTTCCAACTCGTGTTCTACAACGGAAACCTGCCCGAAGCCGAACGATGCCCAAATGAAAGCTCCGCGAAACCGCCGCCGAAAGCATGGCCGCAGGCAAGCATCGGCAGCCCTCCGAGCAGAGGAGGCACGGCGCCCGCGGCCTTTCCTGCTCTACCATGCCATGCTGACGATACTATGCTATCTTCTTGTGGTAGACGTCGACGAGCGGCGCGATGAGAAGCTTGCATCCTGCACTCCTGCCAGGCCAAGATACCTCGGTCACGGCGGTAAGTGTGGACAGCTCTCAGCTGAAGGCGAACGTTAAGCCGTCCTCGTCAGTCTCAGCATCACTGATCACTGGAAGGCATTTACCAGCGCTGTGCAGAGCGCCCCCGGGCTTGGTCAGGACAGCTCTTGGCAATGTACGGAGTTTCAGCAACCACTCGCAGTATCTCCCAGTCATTGTCAGCTGCAGATTGCTCGCATCGAGGACCTGCAGAAGGAACTGCTTGAACTCCTGGGCGGTTTGCCAGGCAGTCAATGTGTTTTCATCTCCCCAAGGGTGTTCCTGTGATTGTGGCGTACATCTGTATATGCGCACACAGACACAGATCCGCACGCAAAGGCATACTTGCACACCTTTGCAGGTGTCTGTATCACTCGATGCCTGCATTCTCTTTTCCCAAGATTGAACTTTCGCTGTTGATCACGAAAGCTCCTCGTGAGGGAGCTTCGTTCATTACCTCACGGAGGTGGTCAGGATTGGTGGGTTTTTCGGCTATCCCCCATCTGGAGCTGGACAAAACCCCGTTGCCAAAGCGGCTTGTTTTGGGCCAGATTTCGGTCGTCTTGGGTAAGTGGGTTTTTAGATGTCCAAAGGAAAAACAGGCTTCCTCTGATGCTGCTGATGCTGGCCTGGGTGTGTGTCTGTCTTTGTCTGGCAAGGAGTTCATA